ATTTAAAAACCAGTGCGTAGAACATCCAAAAAATATGGGTTTCGTGAGGTCTCTGATGAGGATGACTGGACTCTGTACTGGACAGATTATTCTGTTGCCTTGGAGAGGGTTATGGACATGAAGAAGTATCAGGTAGGCTGTTTTTATCTTGTTGAGGAAATTTTTCTCTGAACGTCAATATTTTATCTGGCACATCATCTGTTATAAGTCACTGCTTGTATAATAGGGCTTATAATGCCACATACGTAGCACATAACTGATTTTATCACTCAACTATAAACTCACTGGTATACATTGAAAGTACCCTCCCTTGTTACATTTCAATGTAGTAAAAAAATATGCCTTATGATACACCATAGATACACCACTGTGGTGTGATAGGTAAAGTTACATAGACAAAGATAAAAACTCCTGGACTAAATGAATGCCACTTGATTCTGTTTTTTTCCCTTCCAGAAAATTAACCATTTCCCAGGCATGAGTGAAATCTGTCGCAAAGATCTGTTAGCCCGCAATTTGAACCGCATGCAGAAACTATTTCCTAAAGAATATAACGTGTTCCCCAAAACCTGGTGCCTACCTGCTGAGTAAGTCGTGCGGTTTTTTTCATTTTAGGAATCAATTCAGCTTAATTGTTACTCCTTTTTTATGGATATTCAATTTTTAATTTAAATAAAGTCTAATTTAACTAAAACAAAAAAAAAAAGATAAAAATAATTTTTCCTTTCAATATTATTTATAAAAAAAGACGTATTATTTTCCAGTTATGGTGATTTTCAAGCGTATACAAGACAGAAAAAGAACAAAACGTATATACTAAAGCCAGAGTCTGGGTGTCAAGGCAAAGGTATTTGGGTGACCAAATGTCCCAAAGAAATCAAATCAAATGAACACATGATCTGCCAGGTCTACATCACTAAAGTAAGGCGTGCTTTACAGAAATCTAACTAAGATTTTGTAAAGTAAGGTGTGATTTACTGAAATCTAACTAAGATTTTGTAAAGTAAGGTGTGATTTACTGAAATCTAACTAAGAGTTTGTAAAGTAAGATGTGATTTACAGAAATCTAACAAAGATTTTGTAAAGTAAGGTGTGATTTACTGAAATCTAACTAAGATTTTGTAAAGTAAGGTGTGATTTACTGAAATCTAAAAAAAAAAATGTCAACTTTATATAGCAAAGATTTTTAAAAAATTAATCTAGCTTTGTTATTTTTATTGGAATCTATTTTTAATTGAATCTAGCAATTTAAAAAAAAATTGAAGCTAGACAAAAATGCAAAAAACAATTTCTTACGTTCTATGTCAAGTGATGTAAAACTTTGCTGATAATAAAAGATGCCAAATTTTATTTACTTTTGAATTAAAATTAAGTAATTACAACAATGCATTATTAAGTAGCTTACAAAGAATGTTTAGGTTTCAAATTTTGTTGGAATATATAAAACCAAAAAAAATTTAAGTTGCAAAGTAAAATATCTGAATTTTCTGTATATGATTGTTGTGTATTATTCTGCTTTTTCTATTGTTTTATCCTATAATTTATCATTTCAAAAACGTCCTCTTGCACATTGTTATCCTTTTTTATCTGCAGCCTTTTCTGATTGATGGGTTCAAGTTTGACCTTAGAGTTTACGTACTGGTGACGTCATGTGATCCCTTGAGAATATTTGTTTTTAAAGATGGCCTGGCCAGGTTTGCCACCAACAAGTACTGTGAGCCAACTCACAATAACACTGTGAGCAGTTAATTTGGTCACACTTTTCTCATTTTTATCTGGCATCACCTCATTTTTCAGATAGTCACTGCACTAAATATCTATGTATATGGTTCCTGTTTGCCTCTGGAGACAATGGATTTATCCAGTGAATTGAAATCCACTCTTGGATAACTACCATGGCAGCAGATGAAGAGATTATGGTAGTTCATTCAGTGTGATTCCTCTCTCAACCTTTTGGTCCAAACAAATGCTAAGCATTATGTTTGGTACCAGCTTGGGTTGCAAAAGGAAACTGGACTTAGTAATCATATCACCTAATCTAATGGGCTCAACTCCTGATTTGTTTTACAATTTACACCTAATCTAATGGGCTCAGTTCCTGATTTGTTTTTCACCTAATCTAATGGGCTCAATACCTGATTTGTTTTAGGAGTATTCTAGGTGGCTTTCTGTACCCAGGTAATGAGCCTCATCTCCCTGAGGCAGAATTTGGGACTTTTGGGTTAGCAATTGTGTGCTCTCCCATCTGACCATACACAATTTATAGACTGGACAAAGTGTTGTTCCATTCATATGCTGGGGTTACAGAAATGGATGAACATCTGCATCTTAGATCCTGACTAGCCAGCTTGTAGCTAAAATAATGCTGAATTAATTTTTATTTGATAACAATAGTTATTACCAAGTGCAGAATATATTATTTTAAAATTGAATTGATTTTTTTTTGCTTGCAGGACAATGTGTACATGCACCTGACAAACTATGCTATAAATAAGCACAGCCAAGACTTCGTTAGAGATGATGAAGCTGGTAGCAAAAGGTAATAAATAATAGTCTACCTTCATTAGGGCCATGAGTACAAAGTAATTATGGTCTACATTTATTATGGTCTACCCTTATTATGGCCAGGGTACAAAGTAATTATGGTCTACCCTCAATATGGCTAGGGTACAAAATAATTATGTTCTGCCTTCATTAATTATGTTCTGCCTGCATTAATTATGTTCTGCCTTTATTAAGGCTGGGGATTAATGCTAATTGTGGGCCACATGTTAGACTTAGAAAAAGTAACGGTCCTTTCATTTTAGTTTTTATAAAGTGTGTGTGGGTTGTCAAAATATGTGAAGAATTTTCTTGAGGGCTAGAGGGAAAAGTTATGTTATTTTTTTATAGTTAATCATTGAATTAAAATCTTATCAAAATAGAAGAGCTTTATATTTTCTATACATTAATATAAATAGCCAGAAATGTACTCTTAAATGGTTTTATTTTTAATTGTGTAACCACTTTCACTAAACTATAATTAAGTATTCTTCATCAATAAAGCAAATAACATAGCACATATTGAATTGAGATTTTGAAAGCCTTTGCTTTTTGACAGACGCATCAGCACGATCAATAAATACCTGAAAGAAAACGGTTATGATGTGGACAAATTGTGGACAGAAATTGATGATGTCATCATCAAGACCATGATCTCCGCTCACTCTGTGCTGAAACACAACTACCGCACCTGTTTCCCCAACCACGTCAAGGGTAGTGCCTGTTTTGAGATTCTCGGATTTGACATCATACTAGACAGGAAGCTGAAGCCTATAGTGCTTGAGGTTATTGTTTTTCTGTTTTATGACATCATACTAAAAAGTGATTTTTATAGTAATAAGTGTCCACAATATTTTTTCAAAAGGGGTGTTTAAAAACTTAGTCTTATAGTTAAATGGCAATGAACAAAACTGCGATCCTTAAATATTTATTGATTAACATTGATTATTATTTGAATGTTCAGTCTTGAAATCTGTTAGCTTCCCTAATTTTCTTTTTCATTTTGATGGTTCCGTTTAAGTGGTTCCGTTTAGTTCCACTAAAATGTTCTTTTCATTTTGATGCTGTCATTTAAGTGAACTATTCACCAAGTTTTACTTATTTTCTTCCTTATTTAGCTTCTGTCATTTAGGTGAACCATTCACCAAGTTTTACTTATTTTCTTCCTTATTTTGCTTCTGTCATTTAGGTGAACCATTCACCAAGCTTCACCACAGATGCTAATCTTGACAGAGAAATAAAAGGAACCCTGATCTGGGATACTTTAGGTCTGGTCAACTTTGGAGCTGTGGACAGGAAAAAGTGCATGGAGGAGGAGAGGCGGAGGATCAAGGACCGGCTGCTGGGCAAGACTGTCAAGAAGGAAACAAAGTCAGTACGGATGGGGGGGGGGGGGGGGGGGGAATTGTTTCTTTTTTTTTACATCAGCTCTGCAGGGTCTAGTGGTAGAGTAGGAAATTCAAAACAGTTTAGTAAGTTATCTTGGGTAGTTGACTTACTTGACTTAGATCTAGGAAAGTAAAGTGGCTGGACATAGTATTGACCATACTGTCCATCACTTCATTTGCTGAAGCAAACTTAATTTATTCTAGGAAAATCTAGATAAAGATCTGATTAGTTTTTGTTTTTATGTTAGACATAGGAAATGATTTAGGGTTGAAGTATTATATTCTGCTATTCTAGCTGTAAAAATATGAAGTTACAGCTATTAGACATGTACACATCTTTAAAAAATCTGAACCCTTGAGTTTTTCTGTTCTCCATCAGAGAAGAGCTAGAAGCAGCCTTCACTGTGTATCTGGAACAGTTGGAGAAGTATGAGGAGAAGCATTTTGGTAACTTCCGCAGGATTTATCCCATGCCAGGCTTTGAGAAATATGACAAGTTCTTTCACAGCAGTGGAACTCTTTTCCAAGAAACAGCAGCCTTCAAAGCCCGACAGGAAATGGCCAGGTAATTTATACATTTTGTACAAGCAAATGGTCAAGAAATAGTGAAGTGGTTTATAAATGGTTACAAGCAAATGGTCAAGAAATAGTGAGGTGGATTATAACTGGCGTACAAGCAAACAGTCAAGAAATGGCCAGGTAATTTATAGGTAGTAAAGAAATGGTGAGGTTTATAAACAATGGTTATATTAACAACAGCTTAGGAAATGTTGTGTTCACAGCACATTGTCTTGTATATCCCTTTGAAAGCCTTGATCGAATTTCCACACACAGTCTAGATGTTTCTTTAAAACATATTAGTACAATAAATAATGCAACTTGCTAGGAACCTGAATAGTTTATTGATATATTTGAGTGCAACACTCCACAATAAAACTGACATTAACTATCCTCACAGGCAACAGAGGGAAGAGATTCTGAGAAAGAAAGAAAAAAATGAAATGATGCTGAAAGGGAAAGTCAAGAAAGATGTTTTAAGGCCAGAGAGCCCTGGAAGGAGAAAGAGGAAGTTGAGCAGTCGACCTACTTTACCACTCAGACATCTTGGAAGTCAGAGGATTTTTCCTAATGAGGTCAGCAAAGGTCAAGATCAACATAGAAATGCTGAAATAAAATACTTTTTCTGTTGTTTTTTTTTTTTTTTAATTTTAGAATGGAAAAATTGAAATATTAGGGACTAGTAAGTTTTAGAATGGGAACAGTGGGGACTGGTCAGCTTAGAATGTAAACAGTGAGGAATGGTCAGTTTTAAAATAGAAACATGAGGGAATAGTCAGTTTTAGAATATAAACAGTGGGGAATGGTCAGTTTTAGAATGGAAACAATTTTTGTTTTCAGCTACCACAGTCCCCTATATGTTGAAAATATTTGTTTGTTTCTGCTTCCTGGTTGATTTTTTAAATATATTTAGTCCCCATCTTAAAGCAGACTTCACACTTTTAATTTCAAACTATATTAAATAATATTTATCTGTCTTAACTATCATGCCGAAAACTTAATATGTGATTTTAATTTGTTTTGTTTTTATTTGCTGCATTGTTGTATCTATTAAACAAACAAAAAATAAACTGCAAAGTTGATCTGAAATCTTTTTCTATTTTTAGATTGCTGAGCAGATTCCTGTACTTTTTGTAAGTTTATTTTTAACCAACATTTACCTATTTGAAGTAGTTTGCACTCTTAAGACAGATTCTTAGCAAGAATAGCAATAAAATTTCTTCCTTTAATAATTGCTTTATTCACCTTATAATTATTTGTACCTTATTTAAGAAATGTTAAATAGTTAGTGGTTTACTAGATTATAACTTAGGGGTCATCCATAAATGACGTCACACGTTTTTTGACAATTTTTACCTCCCCCCTCTCCTCCGTCATACGTCGTCACAAAAAGCCAGATCCCCTAAAATGACGTCACACCTCAGTCTACAACCACCCCTCAAAATTGCAGTTGAATTTTTTTTTAAAACATCGATATTTTTAAAAAATCTTGTCTGAACTCTATCAAAATAGAGTATTTTAATCAATTCCTTTTACAATTTATTAAAACAGTTTTCTAAAATGCGAAATGACGTCTAAAATTCGGTTTCTAACATTGCTTTTTTTAAATAATGCAAAAGTGTGACGTCGCACCATCTGAACCCCCCCTTCCCCTCATCACACACCGTCACAAAATTACAGACCCCCCCTCCCCCCTACGAGTGTGACGTCATTTATGGACGACCCCTTATAAATTAAATTTACAAAGCATTTTGAATATCTGAAATTATTATTTTTGCACACTTTTTACCCTTAGCATTAAAAATTGATTTTAAACCTTTTTTGTTTTTATTTATTACTATAACAAAATATTACATTTTTAAATTTAACAAGCTGTTAATTTTTGTGAATGTGAAACAAACATGTTCAGATTAAACATTTGTTAATAAGTTTTATCATTAAGGTAACTTCTATAGCCCTGTCATTTCAACTGTACTTGTCTTTTTACAGTACTCCAAAACTATGCTTGTCTCACAAAGACATGCAAAGTTTGTAAGTTGCAGACAAATAACCTTACCACATGTAATATTGGTTGTCTTCTCTATGAAACATTCCTAAATATATAATGCCATTTATACTCAGCATATCACATACATAAAATAATACCATATATACTTCAGCATATAAGATCTATAAAATAGTAACACATATGCTTTAGCATATTAGGTGTATTTAATAATACCACATATAAGCCTATTTCAGCAAGTTAGGTCTATAAAATGATACCACATATATATATATATATATATATATATCAACATATTAGGTCTATAAAGGTATAATACATATAGTATAAAAGGTATAATACCTTATATGTATAAATCAGAATATTTGTAAAATAATACTTCACAACCTTTGGCATCTCAGGAACATAATTAATCAGGATATTAGGTTTATAACATAATACCACATACACTTTAGAATAGGAAGCTAATATGTCCTGCTTAGCATGCAAGATTATTAGTTTAAAAAATCAGTATCTGTATATATTCTGGTTTTATATTTTCTTTACCTCAAACAAAAAAAAATAGTTTTTTTAGTTTCACCCATACACTCCATAAATAAACAAAAAATGTTTTCTGTTTATGGTGTTGTTGGACAAGTATATTTTTAATGGCATGGTAGTATTTTTTTTAAATTAAATCATTTATGGTATTTTTAAAAAGCAAATTTTATAATGGACTCTACAGTTTGATTGATATTTATCTCCCCTATACTGCATTTGTTGAACTCCTCCAAGTAGTGCCTAGAAGTTTTATATCTTACTTATTTTGACATTAGAAATTGTCCTTAATATTTAACATTCCCTAGTAGTGGTACTTTTTACTTATGCATGTTCAAAAATGTATATTTGATGCACACTATAATTACTGCAAGCTTTATTCTTATGCTAGTTACAATATGATTTTTCTTTCTTAATTATTCATATACATTTGAATCTGCACAAAATTGTTATTAAATTTGGTATTCTTTTTTATCTTTATTTAAAAACTATATTGCTATTATTACAATTTTACAAAAGGTATAGCTTAAGTTTTGGTACAAAAAAATTGTGTAGATGAGAAACAAAATCTTTGTTAGAGTTTTTATACAGTTAAACCAATACATCTATTAAATGTGTTTTTGTTTTATACTGAAGTATGTCTGTTCATCAATTAACTAAGACTGTAAAGATTAGGATCTCATTGATACATTAGAATGTGTGTTTATCATTAAAATTGGATTTTATACATGGGATCTTATTGATACAATACTAATTACTATGTGTGTTTATAATTACATTGGGATTTTAAAGATAGGATCTTATTGATACATCAGTATGTGTGTTTATAATTAAATTGGGATTTTAAAGATAGGATCTTATTGATATATTACTATATAACTAAATTGGGATTTTAAAGATAGGATATTATTGATACATTAGTATGTGTGTCTATCATCAAATTTGTGTGTACTTTTGTCTTTCCATTAGGATTATAAAGATGAGGACCCCATTGATACAACAAAACCCATGGACATCATAGAGGAAGAAGAGCTTGAGCGCTTGTCTGGTCTTCTGCAGCGAGACAACCTGGTCCGTGGCCTGGGTATTGTGGAGCATGCATACCGTCTGCTGCACTGTACGCCTGGCACACTCAGCAACGTCAGGTCTGACCCCAGGGTGCAAGGGATGTCTGGGGGACTTAGTCAGACTTTGGTAAGTTTTCTTTTGTGGGAGCTTTTGTGTTTAGTTTGGTGAACTTAAAAAACTTATAATAAAGTTTCATCTTTGTTGCGTTTAACATTACTTGTATTAATAAGACTATAGTAAGACTTTACATTTGTTCAGTTTAAACATTATTTGTGTATTTAGAAAACATCATAAGATTATAGTAAGGTTTTACAGAGTGTAGTAAGTTAGTTGTGTAGATAATAGTAGTAAATTAAGAGCATGATTTTTTTGTGGTTATTAATTTTTAGATTTAAAGTAATAAATTGTTTTATGTTTGTGGATGTTAGAATTATTAAAACTTCTACTTTAGACAAGGGAAGCAAATTATATGATTATTGACTTACTGAACAAAATAGGTTTCTAAAGTTTCTTAATTTTTTTTTTGTTGAGTAATGTTGGCTTGATTAACTTGATCACATAAGGGCTAAGAGGATTATTTCCTTTTTGATTTGTAGCCTTCATGAAAGCAATCAGAGCTAAGATAATTTACTTACCTCCCCTGTCATAGTAATATGGTGGCATATTTTAAAAGAGGGTTTTTCACTCTAAAACCTCATAAGTTTACATCACTAGTTAACAGCTGCCACTTGCTGCTGTCTAGTTTCACTGTTAGTTATTTAATTTTAGACTCTACTTACATACCGACAAAATACATTACACAGCGATTGACTTTATTTTTGTTTTATGCTACATTCATAACACAGTATACTGAATTCCGCTCATGTCCATATTTTAAATTATAATTTTTTTACTGGAATTTATATTTATTTAAATATTTATACATTTACTGTTTATTTTTCTGACATTTTAAGAGCACTACTATAACATTTTTTTAATGTTGCCAGATACATTTTTCACAGATAGATTCATCCAAATCACATTTTTTAAACTATGAATCACTTGTTCACAGACATATGCATTGAAATAACATTTATAAACTTTGAATCACATTTAACTGTGGTTTGTCTGGTCAAATTGTTTTCCAGGTCTGTTCTTTTGTTGGCCAGGCAAATCTTTTGCTCATAGGTTTGACTCACCTTTCTCTCCCTTACGTAGTTTGGTTTCAGTATTTCTTATGTTTTAAAATCTGTTTTCTTGATCACATATTTTATTGCAACAAAACATAAAGTAGATGTGATCAGCTTTCACTATTGCAATCACAAGCAAGCCTTTAATTATATTTTTCCTTTCTTCTTACACTGATGTGATACATGGTTGTCATTTTTTACTTTAAAAAAATGTTTGCTGATAAACATTGTTTTGAAATGGTTGTAAAAGCTATCAATATATTCTATATTTTTAAAATTATCTCCCTTGAAATTTTTTTTACTACCATTAATTATGAAACTGTGAAAGTAAGATTGTTAAGCATCTAAGATCATCTCTCTACAGCATTCCCTACCAGCACCTTATAGGTTAACTCAGGTATGTTCCATCTGTTTGGAATATAATCCTCTCTAGCAATATTAACTACAAGGCTACCTTTTAATTTTAGTAGATTTTTAAATCAAATTTTAGCTTAAAAACATAGCTTTAAAAATGTATCTTTTTCTAAAACATTTTTATTACAGCTGCTTGTGTGAAATATTTACTAAACTTTTTCTATTTTTCTAATCATCTAATTCAAGATACATTAAATTTTTTTGGTTATTTCTTTTTATTGATTGATTGTGTCATGATCTATGAGAAACAGACACTTAAATGGTGTCATTATTTGCTGATTAGTCTGATTTTAAAAACCTTTCCCCCCTCTTATATTGTAAAAAAGTTTCATAAAATAATTACCTGTTTCACTTTAGGTTATTGAATCTGAATAATACCTTATATGCTAATAGAAATATTTAAAAAATTTTATCAGATAAATGAAAATTGCAAAAACTGAAATTAAAAATTTCTTATTATCTTATTTCTAAATGATTTTATTTTTAGTTGATTTGCAGCAGAATATGTAATGATTCAACTCAAAGACATAAATTTTAATTATGTTGTTTTCTTTACACTACTTTTAATAAATGATTAAAGCTTTGAAACAACTTCCTTTAGGAAAAAATAAAAGAATACTCCAACTTATTGTAACAGTCTAATTTTTTAAAACCAATATCCACTTCTGTTAACTGGGTACTTGTATCTGTTTACTTAAATTCATTCAGTTATAATAAAAAAAATTCCTTTACAGTTGACAGCTCTTAATTTAAATGATGTCACAGGGTGTACAGATTTTTTTTCTCCTAAATGAGGAGAGCTCTTGTTTTGAATGATGTCACCTAGAACTATTTTCCTAACAGTTGAGAGTTTTTGTTTTGAATGATGTCACATAGAACTATTTTCCTAACAGTTGAGAGTTCTTGTTTTGAATGATGTCACATAGAACTATTTTCCTAACAGTTGAGAGCTCTTGTTTTGAATGATGTCACATAGAACTATTTTCCTAACAGTTGAGAGTTCTTGTTTTGAATGATGTCACATAGAACTATTTTCCTAACAGTTGAGAGCTCTTGTTTTGAATGATGCCACATGATTTAAAGCATTTTGTTCTCCAGCATGCAGGTAGCAGTAAAATGGCCCTACGTCTTGAGTTGGCCAAACGAGAACTCGAAATGATGAAACCCATCCCTAACAAAGCTAAAGATACATTTTACTACAAAAGCCTGCTTGACCGTTACTTTGGGCCAAACCATGTTTTATCAAAAGAGGGATCATTCCAACAGCTGCAGAGATGTCTATCCAGCATTTCCTCCCCTGGGGTCTCCGCGGTGAAAAAAGTATCAGACAGTCAGTTCCCACATATTCGCTTCTCCCGAACTGTGGCTCCCATTACTCCACCTGAACAGACTTTAAACAACCTGGAACTACAACAACAGCTGGATATCTCGGCCAAAGTGAGCTCGTTTATCTCATCTGCACCTTTTCGACATTCAGCTCAATGCAATTTGAATAACATGAAACACAAATTCTTCTAAGTGATCCAAGTGGTGTGCTGAACTAACAGGTTGTTTAACAATTGCTAAACCTGAAAAATTTAAGTGTGGGCTCTTCCCTCTAACCTGCCATACCACGTGTGTTGCATGCCATGGAACCTGTCACATGGGCCAATCAGTGGTGCTCAAATCTGGCTTTACTATCATACTCTTATACTAAAAACTAGATAATGGGTTGTTGATTTGAAGACTTGTCTTTTAATGTTAAGATCACCACAGAGAAAAAAAGACTGATCTTGTAAAAGCAATCCTTCAGACCTCAAAATATTTTTAAAATTCTCAATGCATTTAGTGATGTGTTTATTTAACATTACTGAAATAGTAATGAATTATTTCTTGCAAAATATTTGTACGTGATGATTATAAGTTTGATAAATTTAAGCACATCTAAGTCAACATGTACTTTTTGTTTTAGAACGTGAATGGATATTCAGCATAAAAATAAGTCCTATTTTTTACTGATTAAGTTAAGATCTAAGATTTATTTGTTTCATCAGTCATCTGTCTTCTATTCTTTTTTTTGTAAAATAAAATTGGAGTAAATTAAGTTATGTGAGGCAATTTATTAAATATTGAAACTATCAAAATGAGACGTTGCTGATTCATTTATGTTTTTTACTGACAATGTGCAATAACATAATAAAATCAGTTTCCTTTTACACACAATGGTTTGACTGCATTTTTAAATTATTTTTAGGACTTTTATTTTGTTTTACTGTTTTTTGTAAGGTAATCAATTCATTAATACATTATTAATCATAATACATATCTAGTCATATGTGATTAGTTTTAAGTATGTTTGAAGTTGACAAACTTATCTATAAAAAAAAAAAAAAAATACCAAAAGACCTGTCATTAAAAGATAGAAAAAAATTTCCCCATTTTAGTCATGACAGCAACTTAAAATATTGATTAAATATTCAATATTTGTTCCTGAGCTATTTTAACATCATTTTATTACTTTGGGAATGAAAGGAATCTTAATCTGTTTCAATAAGTATTGACTTTCTTGTCTTGTTTGCTAAGTGTATACTTGTGTAAAATAAATTTGAGACAATACTTATCTCCCTTGTATATTTGAAATTCTTTTCCTACTTTTGAAATCGATTTGTATTTGTTTATTGTATTTCATAATTTTTCTTTAATTCAACTAAGTTTTCTAGTTATTTGCCACATTTAGCAGAAAATTTTTTCTTTAAATTATTAAAATATATTTTATTAGATTTTTGCATACTTAAATTAAAGTTGTATTCTCATTATTATTTCTGTAAAGCCACATTTAAATAACCTGTTCTAATTTTGTTTGTTTATTTATTCTTTTAATTCAATTTTTTTAAATTCATATGCTAGTGTTTTTTTAACTGCTATCTTAATATTTCTCTTCTAATTCATAGCACTTTATCTTTGGCTTTTGTGTGCTTATTTTCAGGCTGAAATTCAAGAAGCTTCCCAGCATTCAGCCAATTTTCAACTTCCCACTAACGCAGAGCATCTGACTCACCTTGCTCCAGCTCACTGTAGCCTTAGTGCCTTACACCTGCTTACTCACACTGATGCTAAAGTCACTAACTCCACTGAATCGGCTAGTGCTCATGATCTTTTTATCACTAACTTTTCTGCTTTAACTAACCTAAACCCGCCGGCTTATAACAACACTAACAGGACCGTAGATGATAAGGTCAAATACACGTTAACCCACACAGCCAAAGCTACATCAACCAGCACCACACCAGCCACATCTTCTAATCAGCGTGGCATCACTATATCACAACATCTCCACCAACATATACCCAACAAATTGAATTCAAATCTCACTGATCTGACATTGTATACCATGCCAAGTGTCATACCTACATCAGTTAGTACACCCTCAACTCGCTCTGCCAGTGTTAAAGGCAAGAGGTTATATAAGAGGAGCTCTTCTTCAAAAAGAAATAAAATCAAGAGTTCATATTCTGAGTTTTCACCATCATTAACTCTGCATTCACACAACTATCTCTCTGCTCGTCTCAATGTTCCTGCCTCTTTCTCATCGTTAAACAATTCCGCTAAGCAATCAGCCTCTTACTTACTTCAGCCAAGCTACAGCCAGAAGCCACAGAATAGAGCAACCTCTGTCTCTAACTTAAATGAGCCTGCAGCTGCCTCACAGCAGGTAACTAATAGCTTTCATCTGGGTGTTGAATTGGTAGAATGTCTTTGAGAGTGTTCACTAAGCTCTAGTAGGTACCTGATGTCAGTTTGTTAAACTGCTGTAGGTGCAGCAACAGTAGATGAAATCTATATCAGTAACAACTCACTGCCAATGACATTTTATCCAGCATTCAGTTTGTCACTATTTTTCAAAGATCATTTAGGGGCCTACTCTTGATAACCCATCTACTCAAGTTTATAATGTTAAAAGAAAAGTCATCTACATCAATAAAATATGATCTTTTTATTTAGTATTTTATTATTATAAATTTTAAATTAGATTAGTAATGGTTCTTGTAAATAACAGTCAAATATGTAAATTGACTCAATTTTTTTCCAGTCCATTTTTCCCCCTCTGTTGTAGGCCTATTTGTAGTCACCTAAAAAATCACTAACATAATATAAGCAAAAAAATTCCAAATAATCATTATTTTAAGGAATTGTTCCTAGAAAGTCTGTTTTATTGATAGCACAGCCACCACTGATGCTAGTAGAGATATTTCTAACCTTGATAATTTTATCTTACAGCGCACAAAATTTACAAGGAAACCTCTTGGAGTTTTGGCCAAGCCTGGTCCTATGACTGCCATGCTACAGGAAGTGGAGTATCACAGTCTAGTAAACATGCAGGAGACGGAGGCAGAGAGAGGGCGCTTGTTGGGGAAGACTAATTACCGCGCAGATTGGCGATCTGATAACAGCACACCCTCTAGAGCACGTTCTCTCAGTGCTAAACATAGGGACCATGGTAAAGTTTTCTTTACTTTTAGTAGTGTCTGTGTGCTATGTTTTATATACTAGTACTCGTATAGCCTGTGTGGTGAATAAGTTTGTTTTTCTGGTAGGTCTGTATGGTTAATTTTTGTAGGTTATTTAAAATGTGTCTTTCTTATCAGATTTTAACATTTAGGCTAGCAATAGAAGAAATTTTCTTATCCTTTCTTTTTTTAATACATGGTTAAAAAGTAATTTATTCATTCAAAATTTTGCTTAAAGCTTGACAATAATAAATTGATTTATCATTTGTCCAATTTCGATTAAAAATTGATTTATTTTCATTCTTCTAGATCTATAGATTGGTACAAAGTTAGTGTAAGTTTAAGGTTAACTTAAACTTGCTAGCCCTAGAGCCTAATTAAGTCTGAATTTTAGTTTTATTTTAATATATTGTGAACCTGTTTTACCTCTACCTATCTCTCTAAGATCTGGTGCGCAACTTGTCCCAGAGCCTCTCTGTGGTATCAGCTCCAGCGCCCATGACTTTTAAACCAGATGTGCATGCAAACAATGGTTTTCATAAAGTAGTCTCACCCCAGGTAAGTCAACACTTTCTTCAGCAGTTATAACCCAACTAAAATTATTTCTGTTAATTGAAAATTGTAACATCAAGTTAATCTGATATAATTTCTGAATGAAATAGAAATAAACCATTTTCTTATATTATTTTTAATTTGTAATTGTTACTTTTTCAACACAGGCTGTTCTACCTGACCAGAGATCAACAAAGTCCCAAAGGTTTCGTGGTGCATCCAACAGCATAAAGCTTCATCAAATGGAAATGAGAGAGAATCAAGCTTATGTATATAGTTAAGCTCCTATCTCCCTCTATAATGTTTTTAGTCAGTTGCAGTTTGATTGTTGCAACTAAAACATTCAAATTGTAGACATGTAATATTATTTATTTCTATTTTATAAGCTTCCTGTGATAAGACACACTCCACAACATTTAACATGGTTATGGATTTACAACTGTATATACATTTTTGTAAATTGATTCTCTTGTTGATTTCAGCATTTCTTTTCCTACAAATAACATAATTTGATATTAGAATAGATCTATTGTCAACAAGTATTGATTTATTTGTACATTTAATTATACAATACACCCAAAACAAGTTTGCTTCATGAAATGCACTTAACATTCCACAAACATTTTGCTGTATGAAATTCCAGTTATGATACTTTTTTAATATATTCTAATATTTTCCAATTATTAATTTTACTAAAATTAAGACAACTTTGATACATCTCTTTTACTTTTATATTTTCTGCAGTTTATGCGGAAATGCCAAAATTATTAATTTATCTTTATTGAACTCCTTGAAAATATTTATACAAAAATTTTACATGCTCAAGTACTTCATATAAATATATATCATTATGTACATAAGACAAATTTAGTTAAACTAGTTAAAGGGGTGTATTGCTAAATCAACTATCTAAACTAGCTCCAAAACCAATGTGCTTGTTCACCTCATGAATCATGAAGATATGTAATATCTTTAAGGTTATGTTTTAATCAGATAATAGATTCTTCAGATTACTTATATTTTATTGCTAGCTTACTAAACTTAATTAAATTATGTATTGCATTGTTTTCAATAGCATCCTCAAGGAAATAAAGAAATAAAAATTTTAAATGTTAATCTGTTATGATTAAAGCTATAGCTTGCAAGAAATTTTTTTGCCAAGATCAATAAAAAAGGAAAAACAAACAAATGACTAGATTAAAAAAATCCTTAAGTTTGATATAAATCTCATTCAGTATTAAAAATATATTGTAATCAGAAACTAACAAAATGTGAGTTTGTTTTAACAGTGTCCAATCTTTTATTTTAAATTTTATATTAAGTCTATTATATCACTATTCTTTTAATGCCTGTACAAGTTTTTGTGATATTAAGGGAAAAATGTGATAATAAATGTCTTCCTTTAATGAACCTTTCATTATTTGATTTATAAAAATAATTATAAACATTAATTTTGTGTTGAATGTATTTTTTTTTCATCAATGTGTTTTTTGTTTTTTTGTAGTGTAATAACCATACATTAACCTTATTCAACGAGAAAAATGGCCCGTTGAGGAAGGATACACCGAGCGCTAGGCTGATAGTGCTGTCTCTTTTCTCTAAACTAAAACCACCCCCCACCCCCCCCCCCACACCCCACCCCCCACCCACACACACACCATCCCCCCCACACACACCACCCCCCACACCCCAAAAAAACATGTATACCGTCCCATTCAACGAAATATAATTATATACTTTTTCCAGTGTCCGCCCCCTCCCCGAAAATTCTACCCCCGCCCGCGAAAATTTCAAGTACCCCCACCCCTCTCCGGGGAGGAAAAAGTCTAAACTAAAACCACCCCACCCCCCACACACACCACCCCCCCCCCCCACACACACCACCCCCCCCACCCCCCCCCCCCCCCCCAAAAAAAAAAACATGTCTACCGTCCCATTCAACGAAATATAATTATATACTTTTTCCAGTGTCCGCCCCCTCCCCGAAAATTCTACCCCCGCCACCGAAAATTTCAAGTACCCCCACCCCTCTCCGGGGAGGAAAAAGTCTAAATTAACCCCCCCCCCCCCCCCCACACCCCACCCCCCCCCCCCCCCTAAAAAAAACATGTCTACCGTCCCATTCAACGAAATATAATTATATACTTTTTCCAGTGTCCGCCCCCTCCCCGAAAATTCTACCCCCGCCCCCGAAAATTTCAAGTACCCTCACCCCTCTCCGTGGAGGAAAAAGTCTGAAAGAAACACTGGTGTCGCGCATAGTCACTACGCGAAGAATTGCATTAAAGAAATTGGCAAGAAAACCACTTTTTAGATTAGACACATTAATTAGGCGGTAATTTTATTATAGAGTATCGATGAGGAAATTTCTTTTGAGTTGGGGAGGGGGGGGTCTCAGACGTTCTTACGCGGGGGTGGGGCTTCGCCCCTACCCGAAGAATTGTATGAAAGAAACTCTTCACGCAAACCACTTAGATTAGACCAAATTGCCTTTGTATTGAATGTTTACTCGATAATCAATGACGTCATATTAATGTGTGCACTATCCGGCTTGAGATTATTTTCTACTCTGTGCTAAATGTGTCGACGTCATACTTCGTTTTTCGAATTACTATGCATGTTTTTATTTTCCTTGTGTTTTCTCTACAGCGTTCTTGTCAGACAGATAGATAGATAGATAGATAGATAGATAGATAGATAGATAGATAGATAGATAGATAGATAGATAGATAGATAGATAGATAGATAGATAGACAGACAGCGAAACTATTATATAGAATGAGGAAGTTAAGTTTTATCCCATAAGGCCTACAGAAAAATATTGAGTCTCTCTTCCCATTTCATCTCAAATACTCACTTGTATAGTAACTTAGCAGCTAAAATGAAAAATAACTAAGGTGTCAAGTCTTAAATTTGTTCTAGACTCAGGTCTGCAGAAAGTACCTGAATCCACCCAGCTCATATGGTACTTAACTCAAAGTTAGTTACATTAAGGGAAAAACTTTATAAAATTACACAAAAATACAAGAACTTATAAAATAAGTTTTAATGTTGCTGCACATCTAGAAGAAGCCAGTACTAGCAAGAGACATTCTTTTATTCAGTAATGTCATTCTGTAGAGCTGGACAGATAATAACATAAAAGCATGTGTGGCTAAAAATGTCATTCTGGTTTACAAACAAAAAAATAGATAATGTCACACTAAAAATAAACTATAACACTACTTGTAAAATGTGGAGTAAATCTGTTTTGTAAGTTTTATACTTAAACAATTCTTTATAAATACAACAATCTTTAAACATATCCAACAAAGTAAAATGCAAATTCTTATAACACCTGTTGATGCCTACATGAAAGTAAAATTTTAGATTCTTATTGTAAAGTATTTGTATAAAAATAATATCAAAATCATTCAAATATAGTATAAGGATATATAAAGACTTATAGAAGGTTAAAAAGGAAGAACTAGTAGTGATAAAAAATACTGATGTTTTAACCATAAAGTAAAACATTTTAGAGATATTAATTAGATAAGTTTACATTTCTTAAACTGTTATTGTAATATTAAAAAATACAGATTTGTAAAATGAAAAATACTAGCCTTTCATTAAAAGTGAGTAAAATTATGGTTTTAACTTCACAAGTGGAATGCTTTTGGTGTTTAGACATCTGTCACACACCCATTCAGCATATACTTCCTTTTTCAACATAAAAAATGCATCCTGAGTCAACCCAGTGCACATTCGATGAAACCAGAAGTTGCAGCCACTTTCACACAAAACTGCTTGATCATTCTCATGCACCTCTTTGTGACAAACACCACAAGGATATATTGGAGGGGCGCTTGGGTTAGATGGATTAAAAACCATTGGCTGATTAGGAGGGTATACTTTGCCATGAGATGGAGCCACCTGACCAGGACCCATTGGTCCTCCTTGTTGCTGAGGCATTTGCTGAAGAGGTTTGCCCTGCATAGAGTTGATTGGCACATGATCATCAAATGGGTTTTGTGCAACTATAATAGAGGCTGAGGTTGACACAGGTGGCGGAGACGGACCAGGTAAAAGCTCAGCTAGAGTGTTCTTTAACTGAAAAGAAGAAAATAAAAACAATAATAAATTATTTACACAAAAGTTGCAACATCTAGATATATATAGATCTACTATAAGTAATAAAACAGGTCGTGTTACCTCACAAATTAAAGATAATTAAAGGTACATTGGACATTTGGCACTGTTGTGTGCTGCCAAAGACCTTGGATTAAAACGTCCATTGTACCTGTAATTGTTTTTAATTTATGAGGTAACTAACATGACCTGTTTTATTACTTATTGCATTAGCCACAATGCAGCTAACAATTGTATTTATACTATGTATAGTATTTTATAGGCAGATAATAATAGGCCTATAAATTATAGCAGTAATCTATCGTTTTGGGTGCAAAATTTGGCCAAGGCTAGTAATGTGCGAAAAAGTTACCTCATTGTTAAGGCTTTAATAGAGGTATATTATGATATGTTTGTGTCAAATATTGTAGATAACTGAATAATAAACCAAAATCAATGGCTAAATATATCAATATAGGCCAGAAATTAACTTTAGACAGCAGCGTTTGGCAAGATTTGCTATATAAACAGCAGCCATCTGTAAAATAGAGTGGCTTCCCCTGAATCACCCACTATAATTTTACCAAAAAAAATAACTTAAACAAGATGGCTGCTAAAGTACATCAGCTTGGTTGCATCTGATGAAAATATCACTAGTCTTTATTTATTACTGAAAAGTTTTAGCACAATTGTTTAAAAACAGGTACATAAATGAAACATTTTTGTAAATTTTAAAACATGAATCCTCCTAAAAATGTGAAATAATTACTAAAATTTAAGGAGTCACCTTTTTTTTCACATTACTAGTCTCGGCCAATTTTACGTACTTAAAACAATAGATTACTGATTTACTAAAGTTAAAAGTAGTAAGAAGAACTAGAACAATGTTTAGTAGCAGCAATAATTAGTACCTTACACTTAAAATAATTAGAAATACAAAAAAAAAATAGCAAAACAGTATTTAAAATGCACCTAAAATCAATCCATGCACATTTTTAAACATTGTGTAGGGCCTATTAAAAATATGGCGAAATATAAATGACGGTTAACAGTATTTCCGGAATAGCTCGAGAGACTTCGCCATGGTTTTACTGTTTTTAACTGCTGCACAATTTTGGAATAATAAAATATGACGGTTAACAGTATTTCCGGAACAGCTCGAGAGACTTCGCCATGGTTTTACTGTTTTTAACTGCTGCACAATTTCGGAATAATAAATAATAAATAATAACTGATGCTATATCATTATAAATGATTATTCTTACTTAATTCTGTAGCTTAAGTAATTGTTTTATTTTATCGTTTAGGTTACTTTTTAATTTTTAGGCATAGATCTAGATCTAGTTTTTGTGTTTAATTTAAATTTTACCTGACTTGAGGACGACTTTTTGTCATCCATTTGTGGAATTCTCATAATAATAGTTGAATAAAGAAATGTATAGTAAAGTAAATGAATATGGTTTAGATTGTAAAAACTAATCAAATTGCATTCATATGGATTATTACTAGTTCTAGAGATTAGAGCTAGTTGTGGATCACTACTTTGTAATTTTGTGTCGAATTTTTATTAAACTGTTGTTGTTTCGTTTTTATCCCGTTCAATCGCATCCGGTATATTTTGCCAGTTAAGTATTTATCTGTTCCTTTTAATTTAAACAATAATGTGGGTAATTTGGTTGACAGGTGGAGTTTTAAGAAAATTTCTATAAACATTTTTTGTTAACATATTTCTATCTATTTAAAATTCTCAGCCAAACAATAAAACATGGGTGTGGTTTTCAATAGATAATAAGATAACTTTGACTCTGTATATACATTTTTTAAAACTTGGCTTTTCTAGATGAAATACATTTTACTGGTCAGTAGAAACGAAATTAAAAATCTTTCAAAATTGGTTCTAGAGAGTCTATTCGAAGAAAGGAATTTGTAAAATCATATAATTAATTATCACTAATATTATATTTATATGCCATAAAGATCCAGACCCTAATTGTATTATCAATAAATTTAAAAAGTTTTTATTATCGTGGATAAATTAGACTTTTTAAATATTCACGGAACGATTTAGAAAGTTGCCTCAAAAATAAGAATCCTAAGAAACGTAAGAAAAACAATCATGTCGCGGATCAACACTGATCTTTGTTATCAAATTCTTAAAGAATACTATGGTGAAGTACTCGCTGCTGTCGGTATATTTTTAGTCCGAAATAAAACATCATCTTGCGGTATTATTGCTCACAAATCTGGACTAACGATATTGCAGGTACACGAATGACAATTGAAATTGATAGCCTACTTCACTTCACTTGAAAAGTTGAAGTTGACAACTAAGAACAACTTGATAGACTAGTTGAAAATTATTGAAAACTTAAAAACAATATGACATATTGATTTACTATGATCAGACTTGACTTCACTTCTAAACTATTTATTTAATTAAAATCTTACAGAGTGACCACTTGGAAGATTTTTCTCCCCGTCTCCACTTAGCAAAAGATAGCTCTGCGCATGCACAGTGACCTATGGTTGTTAGGGTTAGGATTAGGGTTGGTGTTAGGGATCTGCAGTTGTAAACACACGCATACGCAGTACCATCAAAAACATCGCCGCGATGGCAAGTCATAGTTTCTCTCCATTGTGCATGCGTATCGTATTCCGGCTAGCATCGGCCAAAATCTTATGTTAAAAGTAAAATCTAATTTATTATTAGAGAGACAATTGTGAATTTATTTTAAAGTTACCATATTCAATCTTTAAAAAAAGGGGAGACAAAATATTTTTAAAAACTCAATCTCTTAATCAGAGGGCCGTATAGGGTGAACTGTTTGTCCATTGGTTCACGGTTGGCTGATTTCTCATTGTCCACAAAAAAAGTTGGGGCAGCTTAATATCTTTTAGAGTTCACAAGCTACTGATTGGGTTTTACTTCAAACATTTGTAGTCTTAGCCTATAGGCCTATAAAATATATAGTGTCAACTTCATTTGAAATAAGTGGAAAATTTAACAAATAAAAGAAACTCTTATAATTAATATAATATTAATAAGTGGAAAATTTAACAAATAAAAGAAACTCGTATAATATTAATATCAAGCTGAAAACAAGAAAATAAAACAAACTTGATTAATAATAGCTTTGATCTCTAAAATGTGTAATGAGTGTTCATGACAGAACAAAACTTTGTTTTATTTTCTTACTTTTAGTGCATTTAAAAAGTTTGATATCACAATGGTTTTTATACTTGTTTTATTATTTTTTAAGTTAAAACAGAAGACTAGAAGTGCAGAAGTCCTAACTTAGATTTTAGATCTAGAGATTATTTTAATTTTACTTTTGATAGTAATTAATAAAGTCTAATTAATTTACCTCATGTATGACTGTGATCTTTTACTCAACTTTTAGTGACTTTAGACCCTAATTTGTTAATCAATAAATTAATTATAGGCCTAATTAATAATTTTAATAAAATTGTATTTAATAAGGCCTGTTTACTTGTATGTACATTCTGTGTACATTTTATAATTAAATTTTAATAATTATTTCCTATACATCATCCTTGCATTCTATCTATAAGTTAATGACTATAGTTTATATAGGCCTATATAACGTTTTTTTTTTTTTAAAGTTTTGACATTGGCTGGTCATAATTGTGTTCAATTAACCACCAGTAATCCAACACTCTTTTAAGAAGTTTCTCTTATTTTGGCATTATAGGATACTGCTACAACTACAACACACATTAATTGAGGGTTGTTTTTTTTTTTAGGTGAAGCAAGCTATACGTTCCCTAATTCAGCAGAACATAGTAACCTTTTCTCAAAGCAAGTCTGGCTCTATAGAGTATATGGCATCAGCAAATGCTATTCTTTGGAGATTAAGATACCCACGCTATATTCACTGTGCTAAAATGCTCTTTGGTGATGCAGCTGAGTTGCTTGTTGAAGAAATTCTTTTACAGGGACAATCTAGGTTAGGCAGTGCTGTCTCAAAAACAACATCCAAGTTAAATGATTCTTTGGTATCTATTGCCTCAGGTGAGCATGTTTGTAGTAATTGTAGGCAACTTCTTTGGTGTTTATACAGTTACCATACACATACATAACTTACTGTTATGTTAAAATTCTTTGGCTTTTACTAAACAGCTCTCCCTGAGATATCTCCTAGTCTTGTAAAGGATAAAGTTACAACTCTTGTAAAGGCTCGGCTGCTTCGTAGATGTGAAGATATAGTTAAAGACAAGGAAGGAAAATTTGCTGTAGCATCAGGCACTGTTATTGATCCTGAGCTGTTATTTTCATTGCCAACTGCTTTGGACTTTGGTAAAAGCTTTGGTGTTTTTAAATTTTAGTAATGATTATGATGATTTAATAAGAAGAAATTTTATTTTGGTGAAATTAAAAGAATTAATATGGGCTTCATGTGACATTATTTTTTAGAACCTGTTGTTGGATCTAAGCGTCCTGCTACAACAAATCCTGAAACTTCTAGCAAGAGACTTAAACTAGATAGTGGAGATGCTGCTGATGTACAAGTAATGGTAAATGTAATATTTAAATATATAATTGTTCGATAAAGTGGATTGAAATGTAATTTTCTAACAATAATAAGGATATGATAATTTAGTTTTACTTTGCAAAATGCTGGATTTCTTGTGTTAGATGTATTAAAGATTTGATTGTTGTAATTTAGTTGTTATGACATACAATCTTTCTATAGTCAGATTCAGCTGGTTGTGGAGCATCTGAATACTGGTGTGTTAATGTACATCAGTTCCACCATCACTTTCGAGACCAGGCAATAGTTGCTGCAGTTGCCAGAAATATTGATCAGGTTCTATTCTTTTGCACGTTATGTATTTGGAAAGTTCAGACAAACTCATTAAACTGCAACCCCAAAATGACAAAACCTGCGCACTTATTACAGTTTTTTTTTAATGAGAGTTGTTTAATGATAACTGATGTTGACTTTGATTTTGTTCAGAATTTAAATGAAGCTCAAAGATGTTGATAAGAATAATAATATTATTACTAATATTAAAAATTGTCAGTTGGTCATTGTGTCAGGTCAAATGTAAACAAGCAGTTGGTGCATATCATGAAGTGCAGTAAATTTGAAAACTAACAAAAATTATTAACTAATACAGAAATCAATTATCTTTTTCTTGAAATTCACTTTTTTCATAATTAAATCATTAAAAATGTTTTTTATTTTAGTAATTCTGAATCTACATTATATATTCTGAGTTGCATAAGTTTTGAATTTCCCTATGTTCAAATTTAAACCAATTGTCTTGTGTTTCTATATTAATTTTACCCTAAAAGGCTAACTCTCCTTATGTGATTGTAAAACTTTTACATTTTGTTGCAATTTCATTACAAAATGAACAAATAATGTAAAAGACTGGCAGATCCAGAAGTATTCGCTACATACATTCATATCAGTATAGAATTTTCATTTTCAGAATTTATTTTTATACAAAATTTTACCTAGAGTTTAGTGATTACTTGTAACAACAACAAACTGAATAGTAGATTGTCAATTCAAGTCAACATATTTTTTAATGCCAGAAAGCTTCAGAAGTGATGAGGACTATGTTACGTCTAAGTGAAACCAGAACTCTACCAACTTCCCCAGAGAGTGTCCCTCTATCACTGACAGAAGTAAGTCACTAATCTTCAGCAAATAATGAACTGACAAAGGATGGTTTAAAAATTATATACTGTAGGGATTGAAACTAGATACTATGTGGGAAATAAATAAAATTGCTAAGATCCAATAAGACTTAATTAAATTGCTATCAAACGCGTCTCACAAATGATGAATCAGCTGTTTTAGCTCAATGGTAATCTAGGGGTTTTAAAGTTTAAAAAAATAAATCAGCCTGAACATGTTTACAAACCCAATAATGCCTCTATCTACTTGTGGCCTTTTCTTTGAGGCTACTATACATAAAGGGACATAACAGAAATAATTTTTAAAGTTTGTGGTAAAGGAAAATTTTCAGTTCTTGATTTTATTATTGTTGATAACATAGAGCTTTCAGTTTTCTTTCATAAAAAAATAAAATATAAAATATCTGTATTTTCAGATTTATAATGCCCTTCCTAAAGACAAAGCCATGCAGAAAACTACCCTAGAGCAGTATTTAAAATGTTTATCAGAATGTTGTGTAAGTTGCATGTTTGTGTTAATGCAGTTGTATAACACTTAAAATGTTAGTGTTTGTTTTCTCCATTCCATTTAAAATATCTTTTTTTTTTTTTGCAGTTTGATTTTGTTACCAAGGTTGGGGAGAGTGGAGGTGGAATGTATCAAATTAGTATCCTTTGGGGTTAAAAGCCTTCCTGGATAGAAAATTACTTATACCACAACCTTTCACATTATCAACAACAATACTCTTCCCATTAAAACATTTACACCCTATATACATACCTCTGAATTTTCTTTTGCATATATATATCATATATTTTATCATATTGTGGTGTCTGGATAATTGCATGATCAACAACAATTGCACTTCCCATTATGATTAAAGCAGTAACACACTCACAAAAGTTTTACAAGTAGTAATTCTTTTAATATGATGTTATTTGTTCATAAATCATTCCATTAACCAAGTATTTATTTAAAACATCTTTCATCAAGTTTGTGATTGTTCCCTAACTATTCTTCAGATTTTTTTAAAGCGATCAAAGCAATTTGTATATCACATATTGAAACTATAATATTAGAAAGGTTTGGGTCAAAAGCTCTACGCATGTTTCGTGTTTTGTTAACTGACAAACAAGTAGAACAAAAACAGGTTAGAATGTAATCGGTTATACAAGTTATATTTTCATTTTAGATAACTTATAATAATATTACTTTTAGCTGGTAAATATGGGTTTAGCTGTTAAAAATAATTCAAAATGGCCATTGCTGTTGAAGTTATTAAATACAGATTTTAAATATATTTTATACGAATATCAAATCATTAATTTTTTTTTTAATTTAAATGAGTTTTCATATAATTATTTATCTAAAATTGAAAATACATTGCATAACTGATTATGATATTTGCTACTTAAAAGTTTTACCCCATAAGATATCTAGTATATTTGTTAATCTTTTTTGTTTGAGTATGAGCTTAAAATTATTACCACAATTGATTATCAATAGTTGTATTTAAATTTAAAGAATGCTAACTAATACTTTTATTAAATTGAAAATTTAACGAAAAGAAAATTATATCTGATTTTTTTAACAATGCAGGTTGAAGAGCGAGCCATGCTGCCACCAAAAGAGGCCAAAGAGCTCTTGTATAAGATGTTTGCTGAAAATTTCATTGCTCTCACAGTAAGTTTTTGCAATGCTGGTTAAGTAATGACCAAGTATCCAATAGTCCAAATTTTTTACTCAACTTAATTTGATTACTAATTTTTTGCAGGAGCTTTCAAAAACACCTGATCACGCCCCCACGCGCACATTTTATTTTTTCAATGTAAATTTGATACAGCTCAGCCGGATGCTTTTAGAAAAATGTTATCAAGTAAGTAAAGAATTTTAGAAACATGAAAAAACACAATGTAGTTTTCAACGGTTAGAATAGTTGTTAGTTTTTATTTATGAGAAAAAAAATTGTAGTTCATTTTAAATTGAAAGCTTCATATTTTAATAAAGATGAGTAAACACTATAAGATTTTGATGTGATATCACCCCTCAAGTTGGATTGAGTTGCTCTCTCAAAATAATCTCTATTATGCAAACAAATACTATTAGATTGTTTTCATGTGTTATAGGCAGAGGTAAATGTTATGATCCGAAGAAGGAAATGTATGTCTGAAAACAAGTAAGTAAACTTGTTTTTGCTTTACTTACAAATATTCTTTCATGGTATTTTTCAAAAATACAGCAGTATTCTTTAAAATGTTAACATAAATTTACAAAACATCAAAAAAATTTTGCCCCCCCCCCCCCCCCCTACCTCACTAGTGAGGTATTTTGTTTTTTACATGGTTGTTGTAAACACTAATGCTGTTAACCTATTCAGTAATGTTTCATTATTGAAATAGGTGCTATAGATATATCTTAATTGAGACACTGTGGTTATCATTTTGTTGTCTTAATTGCTGACATACATTTTTAATTATTGCATATGATCATGAGAGTAATTAAAGCAAACCAGAGATACTGGTTTACATTAATGATATACATTTTTGAAAAGTTTTTTTTTTAAGCCACTACTTTATACTTGCTAAAATGAACCGCCACATCTGTATGCTTTTTTATTTCCAGACGTTTACTGGACAAACAGGAAAGAGTGGAAGCAATCATTGCATCTCTAGATGCTGATGGTGCCATAGAGCAGAAAGAAGAAGTGGAGCAGATGGTGACACCAAGTGAACGTGCACAGTTGAAGAAAATGGCTGAAGCAACTAAAATGTACGAAAAACATTACCAACCTTTCCATCTGTGACTTATTTTTTACTTTTATTATCCTTTACCATATTTCCTTGTCTAAGTTTTCGATCTTTTTTTTATCTTGCTGAATTTTTAGCATTGTAAATTGTGTTATTGTCACAGCGATGTAATCAGGATCTGTATTTCAATTATTCTCAATGTCTGTTCCAGGCTAGAGCTGTGTGAGATACAGCTGGATCACACCATTTTTATTTTAGAGACTTATCTCAGCTACACACTCCAGCCACCTCCACCAAAGAAATAATTTCCCTTGTGTTATGTTGAATGTAATGTATTTATAACTGTTACTTAGGTTGATACCAAAATAAAATTATTTACTGACATAAAATACTTTTGTTGTTTGTTGCATAAAGTAGAAACGGTATAAAACTTCCACAGTGGACACCAATTATTTTTTATACTGCATCATGGTAATACATCCATTCCACCTGACATCAGATTTCTGTCTATCTGTAGATTTTACTTTTAAACATCAAAATATTATATTCAGAAATGCAAGTGAAATAAAAATCAATGATGTTTTGAAACCTCAATTAACAATATGATTAGCTCTTCTGGTTTTAATACTGTGGGTCTGGTTCTTATAAGCCCAAAAGCCCTGAGTTTGAACCCCTGGGCAGTTGAGACTTGATGGCTGGGGAGGGCAACCTTCCTCAATCAAATAGGAGTGTAGCCCTTTGGGCGATAGAATTGCCAACTCTGGTTTCCTTCGGGTAGCTCTGTCACACAGCTGAGGCCAAACTCTATAGGTAATACCTTTCCCTTGGGGACCTCATCTGTGCTGAGAGAAGGTGCCTAACAGATGGACAACATCTGGCTCTTCTTAATTTACTGCCCAGGCCTTACACCTTAATTTCCAAGGCATAATTATCCAATTAGTTGACTATTGAGCCATTTACTTTTATGTTAATTTAACCAAAGCCAGTTTAAAATAAACCGCTAGTGCCTTAAAAGTTAAACCGTCAAAATCATCGAATGTCATAAAAATCAAGTGAACCAACTAAATTCTAGTCAGTTTGATAGGCTGAATTGACACAAAGCTGCCATACACATGATCAAACAAGGTAATGAAAAAACTAAAAAAAAAACTTTCTAATAATAATCTTTTAAATGCACTGAAAATAAGAAAATAAAACTAATTTGCTTTCTCTAATAAAAGCATTGGTCACCAAAATGTGTTGAGGATTTCATCAAGACCAAATTATCGGCTAGTTCACAGTGGTCGGATAGCTGATCAAGCAATCAATAATATTTAATCTTATCTCCCATTTTATTATTACATTTTTTAATCTATTAATATGATTTTAATGTCTAGATTAAAATGAGATATTTTTGCATTGTCATCAGAGAAGAACATATCTGGAAAGTTTGAACAAAATCAATGCATTAGAAGTGGGTCAAAATTGAATTACAAGATTTGCCACATGGCACAAACAAATATAATAAACCTTTAGCAAGAAGCTTTTAAAGGCACTGAAAATAAGAAAATAAAACTAATTTACTTTCTTTAACAAAGCTTTTGTCACTAAAATATGTAAAAGATCTCATGAGCAACCTGTTGCTATAAAGGTTTTTTATATTTGTTTTATTTTCTACTTTTTAGTCTTCTTCTTCTTCGTTCTTAATTTTAGTGTTGGAAGGGATCCCCTCCAGCACATTTAAGTATATGTGTCAACTGGTTATGCGCCATTGAGGCCATTGACTCCGAATTCAGCCTGCTTTTCTTTTTGGATTTGCTTCCATAGCCTTTGTGCAGCCTAGAACAAACTACAAGGCAGCAGTTGTTTGATTTTGGAGTTGTCTCTCCTAGAAGAGTGGCTGTCCCCAGCTAATGAACTTCATCTGCCCGAGGGTTTGAACTCGAGACTTTTCAGTATAGTAGCCATGAGTTTACCGACTCGACCATGCGGACCACTACTTTTAGTGATTCCTAATTTATGAAGTTGACAAGACAAAAAATATTTGTTTTAAAATCAGTAGCTCACCATATCTAAAAGCAGATTATTTGGCCCCCTTGAAAAGCAGCAGCCTATGACCACAGATAAGTGCAGGATAGTTCTTAATCTTGCTACCTCCCCTAAGTTTCAAATCATATAAAAATATATTATCTGCCCCTAATAACCTTCACTGGGACGACCAGCTATACGATTGCAAATATTTTCATGAACCAAAGCTCACCAGACTGGGTGATATCATCTAGCTAGTTACCTCCCCTTCTGTTATTGGATATAGTAATATATTGCGTGGTTAAATTTTGTTATCTCCCCTTAGTTCCGGAACTGTTTAATTAATCTCTAATGACTAATTAAACATCTAATTAAATTAAAAATTGATAGACTTGTATTATCATTGATATGGAACAAATTTGGAAAGTTTGAATAAATTTGCTGTATTAGAAGTTTGTCAAAATTGAGTTACAAGATTTGCCACAAACCCACAAACAAACCTTGCAAACAATATAAAAGCTTGTAAAAAGAGTTACAATTTTTTTTACATATGATACTGAAATATAATTCTTTTTATTTTAAATATCTTTTTGTGAATAATATTTCTTTAAACCTTCATTGAAGACATCAATATTGGCCTTATGTTTCATAAGAAATTTACCATCAAGATGGAACACTGGAATGTCATATCGATAGGCTTTCCAAAACTGTTCATTGCCTGGTGCTGTAATGTCTACTTTTTGTAACACAACCTGCAGTATATATATATATACATTTTCTTATTAGTATAGATATTACTTTCTTAAATAATTTTTCAATTTTACTTTCCCTGCATGATTTCTAATGATTGCAGAACAAATATTACCTTGTTCTTATACTAAACTACTTCAAAAGATTTTTTATTAAAAAAAAAATTCCCAAGCTATCTTAAAATTGAAATCATTACATCAATAAAGTGTACACTTTAATTAATATTAATAACAATCTACATCCACCAGTAGTGGTCTAGCTACCTGATTGAGTAATGCTGGTCCTAATGCTTCTAATGCTTCATCACAAAGGGGACAGGGATCCTTTGTATACAATGTAAGAACTGGTCGTGCTCGATTAGTGGACTCATTGTGAAAATTGGTAAGATTTAAAAATGCGTATGTCATTTTTTTGCCATCAAATTGGCCTAGTGTGCCTGCTTTGCTCGAAGCCCATGATGGAGGATTGTTAATGCATTTTATTGTAATAAATCTAGATATAATGCTAGAAGTAATACTAGATCTAGATCTTATCGAACGCTTTGAGCTGATCCCAACAGAATAATTTACTAACAACATAGATCTAAATAGTGATGTTCTCATTTTATATAATAATAATTAAATTAGTCTTGGGGCCTATAGTAACTATAGTTAAGTAATAAGTAGATAGATTCTAGGTTAAATCGAGGCCTAATTCTACGATACTTGCATAGCAGGATAGTATCGTACTGATGTTTATTCCTGTCGGTATCGTTATTCAAAGTTAGCGATACCACACCAAAAAAAAAAACAGATCGATAATCCCGACGCCCGTCTTTTTAAAAAAAAAAAACACCTACATAAACAAATTTTCTATTTTATTGTTTATAATTTTATTTTCCTTGACATTTTTACTTGATTATTCCCACTGACATTGCCTCTTAGGCAATCTAGATTCATTATTAAATTTGCTTAGTAATAAATTTTCGCTTTAAAATTTAACTATCAAATTATTATATAGTTATGCAACCTCACTTAGTTCGTTTACTTAAATTGTGTCGTATTATAATAATAATGTTTTAAATTATAATAATATATACTGCTACTTTAACCCTTTTGGTGTTGTTTTGACCTATTGTCGACAGCTGTGAACCTGAAGATTTAAAAAAATATATATATACTAACACAAACAGATCTAGAATCTAGAATGACCTACTCTGACCGAGTATGGCCTATTGATCTAGAACTATCTAGTCTATATGCCTAAACTCCAATGATAAAATATCTCAGCAACGATTTCAAGAAAAGTTATAAATTTAATTAATCTAGATTCTAGATAGATCATTCATTCGTTTTCATAAAATCGATTACATGACAATTATATTATAAATAAATCCATCTGTTTCCGGTCTGTCTTCGCCTGCCGAACGGCAAGCCGGAGGTAGCAAACCTTCGGTTCTTCTAACCCTAGGTTTAATTCTTACGTTCCTCTATTGCACCCTGTTTTTCTTTTTAGGAAAGTTTCTTAACAGGAGAGGTACTTGAAAATAAAGAAACTGTCCAGTTCGGCAACGAACCAGTGGCTTAAACAAAGCAGAATCCGAGACAACAAAGAATTGTTTGTTCTTGGAACCTGAGACTGACCCAGATATCAAGGGTTCGTCCCTGGTGTTTGGGAAATAGCTCAGAAATGTCTTTGTAAAATTAATCCTTAGACAATAACGCCAGTTCTAGACCTTCGTGTCTTTGTAGCTGACACGTATTGTTACATTTTATTTTTTAAAAGGCAAATCATATTTAAAATAAGTGTTCGGCATTTTATTTCGTGGTTCTTAATAAAAAAAAAAATCTTCATTGTCTTTTTCAGTTTTTGTTTTCTGTTTTGTTTAGTTTAGAGTCTAGATCTAGAGGAGCTTACACTTTTCGGACACACATAGCGAAAAAACGCAACGTAAAAATTCCATGCGGTCTCATTCAGTAACCGCTTAACATAGAAAACAAAAAAAAGTATCATATCTATCCGCAACCATTCTACTTTAATAATGTGTGTGTCATTTTGTATTCATACGCATAGAACTTAAGCTATTCTTGTTATAGTGACTGGCGGGTCTTAACGTGTGTTCGAACACATGTAATACAGTTTTACATGTGTTCGGACACCTTTACCCGTCATCGGACATAGCACTTTTTGTTCATTTAGAATAATTTAAAGTCAATTTAATGAATAAAAACATATATTATATGCATTTATATTGTGTTATTGATTGTTTGTGAGGTAATTTTAATAGTATAAAACCTTTTCCCCACACTCCCAAAGTTCATCCCATTCAGCCATTGCGGCTCGCGCAGTACGCTGCTAAGCCAGCCAGGTCACATGATTCCCCCTCCTCTTTCGCATTCCACTGCCTTCTTGACCTTATTTTGACCCTTTCCCTTCAATAACCAGCCCCTTTTATGCTCTAAATTCTTATTTAATAATATTTTTGTGTTGCTGTCCGCTCCCATGTAAGGCCAAATAAGTTAGCGAACACCCCTTTTTTATTGTTCAAGCACGAAAAAACCCATTAACCTTGACATTTACGATGTTCCATACATATATAGAAGCTATTTATAGTGTAACCTTTTAGCTAAGCATTGATTGGTTCAAGTTTTGCCCCTAAGTCCAACCCTAGGTCACTTCATCCGGCTGGTGTAAAAATAGAAATGTGCGTACCATGCAACGTTAAAAAATTTCTAAAAATAATTCTTGAGAAAGGAAACGGAAGTACTTGACACGGAAGTGTTCATAAATGAACAGTTTACGTGCAGGCGCCGTGGTTTCGCGTGAGACATGCTAATTAAAGTTTCTATGAGCCAAAAACCGACGAAGTGTTCGGTCCTACGTAATTTTTGGTGTGTGTCCGAAAAGTGTAAACTCCTCTAGATCTAGCTTGATTTTACAATTTTAATATTACATATTTGATCATCTTGACATTTTAAATTTTTCCTTAACAATCTAGATCTACTTACTGTGTTACTAGACCTAGATCTAGACGCAGGATCTTCAGATTGATATGTTACTTATCTACTGCTACTAACAACTTGATATTTAAATTAGGCTATAGATCTAGATCTAAGCTTTATTTTATACAACAGATGGCAAGAAAATCGAAACATCTGGAGCCAGATCTGTTATTCATTGACTAAATAATAAATATAACGAGCCGACCCGCGGCGTATCATACACCGCTATTTAGTTTTTTTATTTTCTACTTTTCAGTAGGCCCCCTACTTCATAATTTGTGAATTCGACAGTTCCACTTCTGTCACTGAAAATATTTGCTTTATTTTAAAACACGATCAGTAAGTCAAGGACGATAACCCCCCCCCCCCCCCTTTCCCCCAAATGGGACGAGTTCGAATCCGGGTTCAAGACAGTAGACCGTCCCTGAGTCCACCCAACTCTGATGGGTACCTAACTCACGTTAGGGAAAGTAAAGGCGGCTGGGCCACACTATCTCTTCATATGCCGAGGTCACAGAAACAAGTGAACTCTTCTTCACTTGCCCCATAGACCGTCAGGTTTGAAAGGGAATCTTAACTCCTTTCCCCTAACCACCACACCCGTGAAAGCAGCCTCCTTTTAGCTACCTCCCCTAAGTTTAAAATCATTTCAAACTAAATTATCTGCCCCTAATAGTCGTCACTAAACCCGGCTCTACGCTTGTAAATATTTAGCGTGAACCACAGCTCACCAGACTTCCAAGAGAGGGGACTGCAAGGCGCGCTTACAGCTTGTTTTCTAACGTCTCCAAGAAGAGAATTATTTATATAGATAAATTATTATAATCGGAAATACTTTAATTAGAAAAAAGCTGTATGTTTATGTATTTGAGCAAAATCAACACAAATAATGAAATGAAAAGAACAATTTTGTGTTATCAGTTATTACTGACTAAATCTTACACCTAATTTATGGGGACAGCATGGCCTAGCAGTAGAGTGCTACTCTGCTAACCCGAAAGCATCAAATTCAAATCCAGGTTCAATCAAAAATCAGTAGAACGTCCCTGAGTCTACCTAGCTCTGATTGTACCTCACTTACATTAAGGAAAGTAAAGGTGGCTGGGCATAATGCTGACCACACTTTCATTTCATATGCTGAGGTAACAAACAGGTGAACTCTACTTGCTCTATTGACCATCAGTTTCAAAAAGGTAACTTGGTCTTTACTGCTAAATGAAATAATTTTTGAAACCTTTACTATATGATATCTTAATAGAAACTATTGCAAAACCTTGAAATAAATAGCAATTTAATTATCTCAGCTTATATTCCTTCAACCATATAACATATTTATTAATTTACATAGCAGTTTTGCCATAAAGAATAATTTAACAAAAAGGAAGTGGCTGATAATAGTAATTTCTTTATGACTTTATGTCAGCTCCTTTCCTGAAATAATGATATGATTAACACAATATTTTTATATTATATTTATGTATGATTAACACAATATTTTTATATTATATTTATGCAAGAAATAGGCTACTATTGATATAAGCCTTCTGGTACCAATAAGCACTTACTAGAATAACTTGTCTTGAAAGGATGAAATTGTATAGAATTTTAGCCACTCTACTCAACCATTAAAAAAGAATGTCGACTGGATTTTTTCACCAGGGCTTGTGAAAGGCAATTTAATTAAAAGGTGATAAAGCTGTACCATGAAATGAAAAATTCAATAAGTTGACGAGATGAGATCCTTTCCTTATGCGAAAAAAATAATATAATAATTATCAAACAAACATTTTCCATATACAATAAACGAAAAACAATTTTCAAAGGTTTAATCTTTTATGTCAAATATGTTGAAATGATCATGGTAACACCACAGGGAGTCACAACAGGGTGGTCAACATCATATATAAACAATAGTTGTACTTTTTTTTTCAATCTTTTTTTTTTCTTGAGTTAATAAAGGCATAAAAATGAAGGTGATAACATTAAAATTTGACATTCAAATGACTTACCAAGAAACAAGACAAATGTAAAGTTTAAAAAAAAAATTCAATATTTGTGCTAAGAAAAAGTACAATAATCTTTCTTCTATTTCATGTAGTTTGTAATACTTGATACTGTGCCCATGCTTCCTTAAATCATATAAAGGTAAAGCACTCAAATTAATTTCTCTTTCCATGATAGATTTTATAGATCTCCCTCCAATCACAAAACAGGTTTTATTGTGGAAACAACATGAAAACCAATTGATTGTTAATATTGAAATAAAAATTACAAACACCATTAGTTTAAATTTTAAGCTTTAAAAGTTTTGAATATTAGTATTATTCAATTGGTGATTTTAACAGGGTCAAAATGTAAGCATTAACAGTTTACATGCTGTATTTATTTCAACACCTGAAATTTCTGATCAGACTATGCTGCTAAAATTCTAGTAACTGAGCTGGTCAGCTTCACACAACACTTAAAAGATGAGCAGAAATAATAACAGTTTATCATGAGTACAAAATCAGGCCAAATGTTGAAAGGTCGGAGAGGAAAATTACACTGTCTAAAAAACAAATGCATGGTAAATGAGATACTTGTCTCAATTACCAAAATAAACTATCATAAGGAAAAAATGCTGCAAAGAAATCACACTGCACAATTCTTTTTATTGGGGACCCACTGGCAAGGGTTTATAAAGCTACATCTCAACAATGCTTCAAGGAAAACAAATATTATGCACTATTAAATGTGGTTATTTTTTTTTAAACCATCAGGCGGTTCACTTTTTAATATATGGCATAAAAGAATACAAAAGATTATCCCTTCTGGATAATGCCTTCTAATGCAAAAATAGTAACATTACTATCATACAATTCAAGATCTGTCAATATTCTTTCCATATGCTGCAATTTTTTGACAAGATAATTTACATTTTAAAAACATAAATCACATTAACTACAACATTTAAAGTAGTTAGAATATTTACCAGCAAAGAAAAGTTAAGCCAGCTAAGCTCATATCACAAGATAATGGTTTTAAAATACACCACCAGAATAAAAGAGTTACCACCATCCACTAGCTTTAATTTGGGGGGAAAAGGAGTTTTTCTACTAAAGTACTTACTGGAATACTAGCAGATCTATACAATTATTTTTACACAAATTTTGGAATGTTTTCTTTTTTCAGTTGTATTTTGAAGTAATCTTTCACCTGTTTTTTGTCTTTACTGAACATCTTAACTTTCACAAAATGTTTTACATTATACAGATCCACAAAAGCTTGAATACAGCCATGATATTGTATCATTAACACTTACTGTAATGTACGGTAAAAAAAACTGATGTGAGAGTGCACAAGACACAGTGCTTATAACATAAATACAAGTTAGCTTCTTACATATTACATGAATCTTGTATTTAAAAAATACAGATTAAATTTTAAAAAAAAAGAAATCTTTTTAAACAGTCAAAATGACTGTATTACTACTAAATTCATGTGGCATTTTTAAAAAAAAAAAAGAAAAAGTATTATAAAACTTCTACCTTTATTTACAAGGTGCCTTTTAGTGAAGTGCAATTTTTAAAAAGTTACAGCACTGAAGAAATTTACACATTGAGACTCATTACATAGTTTTAATTCAAATGCAATTGAATCTTTTAATCTTAATATGTAGTTCAATGTTATTTAAACATTTACTGAACATTCAAGTAATGTCAACAACAGAAAACAATTCAACACCCATTTATACATTTTCTTTAGTTATTTTTCTTATTAAAACAAGGAAAGGGACAACACGGTAAATAAATCTTTTGGATAAATCACCTTAAAAATTATAAGTTAATAAAAAAAAAACTATGTCATGGGATATTTTAAAAACGCTGCAACAAAATGTGAAGTCCAGTTAACATTGGCTTGAAAAAAAGTTACCTTTTGATCATACTCTCCAAATAATTTCAAGAAAATTATCATGATTTTAACAAAAAGAAAATTTAGCATTTTCTAGGAATGGTTTTAAAATTGATGTTATCACTGTGTAGTCATAATTACCTAATAACTGCTAATGTGAAAATAAATTACAAGAATGATTCATACTTATTTAAAACAAGTATTACTGAAACAATAAATTACCGAGTTGGACGTTAATTTTTAATTGAGAAAAAGTCAACTCCAAATTATGCATAATTATTTATTTGTCGATGCAATCTAAGTATTTTTTGCACGTTTTATATTTAAAACTAAATAAAATAAGTGATCAACACTTAACTAAAATAAAAATCTGTTAAAACCAGTACCTTATCAGAAGAAAAAAAACAGTGCTAAAATTTCACAGTAGGCTTTGTTTAAAATATTACAAATCACTAGCCTTGGGCATAAACAATTCTAGAAATTTTTATAGGATGCTTTAGGGTGAAATTTAAAATTAGATCATACTTTTATTTTAAAAATAGCCTTTGCATATACATTTTTTAAAGTATAAATAATATATACAGTGTAACAGCCAACACAGCCATACTAATAGTCTAAATGTTATTAAATAAAAGCTTATTACAAGTCTTATTTGTTAAATATCAGAGAATGTTTAATGAAAGTTTAATTTTCTTATATTGCCAACTTTTCAAGCATGAACAAAAATAAATCTACCATCAGCTCCTGCCAACATATTTATATAAAGCTGTGTAATTATTTAACTAGATTTATAAATAAAACTTTTACATTTGTTCAGTAAACGCAAATATATTTATAAAACAGCACTGCAGGCTATTACAAAAACCTCGGACTTCATATATATAGTTATTTGAACTATAAAACTTGCAGTTCGCTAGGGTAATGTAAATTCTACTTAAATTTATCCATCACTTTTGCAGTCTAAGGCACACAATTTTATATATCACTCTGAACTTGCTTGCAGATCTCAAATCCAAGGGTGGAATTTGTTAAACTTAGTAAGCTTTTATAGTTAAAAAATTAGCCTAATTGTTGGGAGCCATTATGCAACTTCAACTTGTATTTGAAATGGTTCACCAACATGATGGGTTATAGGCCTTCTATGATACTTCATCTGCTGAAAGTAAAGCTAGTGTTGACAAGTTTATTTTTTTATGTACAATTTTGAAAATTAAATTGAAAACTTTAGCACAGGTTTGGTGAAAACAAATTGCGAAATATGTATTACCATTACATTGCCATTTACTACAAAGGCAACTGAAATAAATATTTGTATCAATAGTATTATCTTTTACTATGGAAGTCAAAAACTTGATATTTTTAAAAAGGAGTATTGACTGGTACCACCTAATCTTAATTTCATCAGTGTACATGTAAAAAAAAAAAATTTAACTCGTTTTCAGTCTTACAAAATTTAAATATAAATAGATTTATCTAGAAAAACATTTGTGTTCAATCAATGTCACAAGTGTGGCATATGTAACTAATTCATGATTGCACAGTTAACTTGTCACTTAATACTTGAGCTGGTAGTTTACAAAATCAGTTTTATAACTTACGAGTCTGCTACATTCAAGAAAAAACTAACAGTTGCAGGAAAAAATGTTGGCACAAAGAACAAATAAAGGGGCCAGTATTTTTTTTAACATACGTTTTCAGCATACCAGTAATCATATTTGGCACCAAAATGAGCATCTATTCATCTAAATGTTAACATTCTTGCTTGTTTAGATAAACACTACTGTTGATTTTAAAAGATTACTCAGAGATCATTCTATTTTGTAGCATTTAATTACAAATAGCAAATTTTCCTTTTTGTAATTGGCTGAAGATGATAACCTGAGAAAGTTTCTTACCATTACTATAAACTGACTTGTTTCAAATAAGACACATCAAATATGTGTTATGAAAACCTAACAAGTTAGACAACATAGGAATTAGGACAATTAGATGAAATGGTTGGTACTTACTCTCAAGGAGCATGACATGAAGCCTACGAACATGATCATTCATAAAATCTCTTTGTTCACCATAGATGATTAAAGGCTCACTGTATGCAAGTTGCAAAAGCAAGACAAAGTTGGCTCTTTACATACAATACAAATGTACAATCTTCAGCTTTTCCTTATACAGATTATATAATATCTGCTTCAGTATATTCATTTGTGATTTCAGTTTATTCACCCAAAGGCCATTTCATTAAGTTGAAGAGTTTTATTTAAAGTTTACAGAGGTTTGTATTTAACATTTGAAATGTTACACAAGAAAAGGTATATTTATGTCACCTAAGAAAAGAAATTGATGATTCTTAAATTAAAATCTGTTTTGAACACTTGATAAAATTATGTTAAGAAGAATGATAGGCTTTTCTTTCAATTAGCAGAAATTACCATCATGTATATTGATTTACTCAGCAGTAGCAACTGGTAAGTGATCGGCTTTGGCTGGTTTTTTAATTTTGTTCTGGGGCTTCATGACAACATGAGGCTATCTCTTAAAATCTCTTGGTGCTGACAGTTGCCCTGCACTGAAAGAATATTGTACTGCTGGCATGAGAATGTTGGTTTAAAAACATGATTGTAGAACACATTTCTCTGAAAACTGGGGCAGTTGTGCACAAAAGTTGATGGATTTCCAACACCAAGAAACGAACACATGCGTGAAGAAAACTGTAGCAGTTACAAAAGTTTCTGAATCAAATCTTTTTAAAAAATCAGTATGAGTCATTACAATCTGTCCAGTTTAAATGAATCTTCTGTGGCTGGGTCAGCTACAAGGCTAGCATCTGTCAACATCTGAATTTCATCAAAGTCTAATGGGTCAAGGCCAGCTTTGAAAGCTTCATCATTAGTAAGAAAGTCTGCATCAAAACTATCTGACATGCCTGTAATGGCATTTCCCAAATCTTTGGCAAAATCCAGAGGTAATCGGCACATATCATCTGCACCTTTAGACAAATAATAAATAGTTTTAAGAATAGCTCATACAAATTTTGGACAATATTAAACCATTTTTGAAAATTAAATGGAGTATTCTATAGACAATTGCTGGCCATAAAAAAAACCTGCATATACATTATTTCAATAAGAAACAATTAATACAAAATCAACATTACAAAATTACTGCAAAGATATTCATTGCTTTATTTATATGAAAGTCAGAATTTTTTTTTGTTTATATCATTTATTAAAACTTCAAAGAGATACTATTTATCTAAATAGACCAATATTTACAGTAAAGTAGTCTTGAACAGGATATGTTACATTTTACCTGTAAGAATAATGTCAGGAATTTTGCTGCCAGAGGTGGGAGAGGACAATGAGTTTTGCTGATTCATTTGACGATTGTTTTGAGAGGACATGGTGAGTTGGCTATTAAACTGACCACTAGCCATGACATCTATAGGACCAAGAAAATGAGGCTGAAAGATGTCATCATTGCTGGACATTGCCAACATGGCTGCCTGTAAATATAAATTGGACGGTACTTATTTTTTTTTGCGTTGAACTGAGAATTATATAGCTCGGTTTTAGATTGTGCTATACAAATGAGTGCCACTTTAGCTTTTTATCTCTTACAGAGTATGAGCTACTCATGAGAGAGACATACCTGGGTGTACTGTAATGCTAATCCAAGCTGCTGTGAAAAGGCCAAGTCGTTAGCAGCACATGTACTGTTACTATTACTAACTAAATTCAAGCCATTTGTGGTCATGACTGTTGAGCACATGTTGGTTGAGGTAACTTGAAGGGGACTCTGGGAAAAAATGCCAGACATAGGACAGGGATTATTTTTAATGGCTGGCATGCCTTACAACCAAACTATCTACATCCCAAACCACTACTTTTCAACAAAGAAAATAGGACATGCTAGGTGACATTTCATTTTATAGCACAATTTGTTGAGGAGCCTGAACTGAGAATTTCCATTAGTTAATGTACAGATACATTTTAAAACATTCTATTTTAAGGTGCACATGGCTACAAAAAAAACCAAGTGATTATAAATTGTGCTGCGTTACAACATTTAGGAGACCATAAGTTTTTATGTGCATATATTTTAAGTTAAAATAAAAAACAAAAAAACAATGGAGTATCCACCTAAGTTTAAATGAATAAAAAAAGTAATTAAATTATTGGAGTTATCTCTATCAGAAAACAAACTTTAAATGCTTTTATGTTTTGCAAAATGTTATTACAAACAGATGTAACATCAATTTATGTTTATTGACAATTAGAAATTAAGATGTTCACCTAATATTAGTTAAATTAGCCAGTTTCTTTTATAAAATACTTTTTATTATGTTTCCACCATGAGTCAGGTCTGATAAGTTGTTACTTGAAGTTTACAAAAGCCATTACAACAACACACAAACTATCAAGTAATTTCCGTTGCCTTCACTTCAAGTTTTTTATGAATACTTTTTGTTAGCATTACATTCTAGTTAAATATTTTTTCTGACAAAGATTTCATTTAAAAATTGGGGTCAAATAATCATTAATCAAAATTCAAATGCCGCTCATATATTATTTTTAAAATTCAAATATTTTTATAACATTTCTGACAAATAACTTACACAATAAAGCTGAACTATAGCACGTGCAGTTAGAATGGAATTTTGAAAGAACAAATTTTGTACAATAAAAAACTTGATAAAAAGAAAATACATGCCACTACATACAAGTAAAACAATTGCTTAAATTTTAATATAGCTATTTATTTTTCACTGCTCTGAATTAACATACGTTCTTTAACCCATAGCAAGCTAGTATAGCTGGGTTAATTATATTATCCTGCAAATTTTTATCATTTTGAATCTTGCTTACAATCCTTTTTTTTGGTTAACTTTGGCAAACTTATTCTCACCTAACGAACTTGTTTTTCAACATTAAAAATGTGCCCAAAAAGGTGTAAAATTTAACAAATAAAAAAAAGTAATCTCACCATGTTATTGAACTGTTCAAGTTGATGCTGCAAGCAACCAGGATAGTTATTTAAATCAACATGTGAAATGTGAGGTTATTGCATAGTAATTAAATATTTGTTCTAGTACACATTCAGACATATCATACCATGTTAAACTGTTCAAATTGATGCTGCAAGGCATTTGTTTGCTGTTGCTGCTGTTGAATGTAGTAAGCGTCACTAAAAGTTGAGTTAACTGACTGGCTAGTAGGAGTTATTCCTGGAGATTGAGCAGGGCTGTATGATGGCGCTGAGTGGGGAGAAGTAGGTGACTGACAGTTGGAGTCAGAAACACTTGTATTTCGATACTGTGTCATAGATGCCTAGGAAACAAAATGTAAAAGATAAGCACATCATTAAAACTACTATAGTTGATATTGGTACAAAAATCTATTAAATGCCAAGATTAACAAAAGTGTAGTGGCAATCTGTCAAATTAAAACACTAACTAGCTTGAAGTTCAAAATGGTAAAATGCAAACTTTAAAGCAAATAGTATTCATTACAGTGCAATTAACTCTATATCACATTATTACAACATCGCTTGAAAAGTGCAACAATACAAGGACAGCCAATTTGAATGTGAAAATATGTTAGGAGTTAAATTTGTACTACTTTTTAAAACTATCCTATTTTTTATTTCATACTAGGTATTTTTAATTGGTGTAATTGTTAAGTTATTAGTAATGCTAACGATAAATTTGCATAACATTTTTTTTTTATCTATCAGCTATTTATACATCTCTGCTTTCGTGTGGTTATTTACATACCATTTTTTAATTGCATGCCAGAATAATCTCATTTTAATGTAGGATAAACAATATGAGTCACATTCATATTAAATTTCAACACAAAAACAAAATTGGCACAACATGCATATCATCAACGGTGCTCTACAAATGAATTAAGAACAAAGAAAAAAGAAACTGCCACAAAACGATACCTTACCTGACAACCTAGCTCATCACAATTAGTAATGTGAACCTGAGGCACCAAAGGAGTTTGTTGTTGCTGATGATTATGTTGATGGTTGTTATTTTGATGAAGAGATTGTGTGAAATTAGAAGAATGAGTCTGAGATTGACTGGGTAAGTGTGGTGTTTGAGTAGATAACACAGCTGGGGACGATACATGATTGTGCTGGTAGCATGGCAACGATGGCTTTGTTGCCTGTCGATGGTTTAATGACTTCTGATGTGTTGGTGAGTATAAAGGTGAGACAGGGGTGGGGTAGGGTTGGTTTAAGGGTGATTGTGTGCCCTGATGCCTCAATTGCTGCTGTTGCTGTTGTTGAAGCTGCTGCTGCTGCTGCTGTTGTAAACATAAGTACTGTCGCATGCAGGGGTCCATATCTGCCATCTAAGAACCAAACAAACAGACAAGCTGACAAAAAGCACAACAGCAAGACCAGCACTAAACTAATAAAGCTATCAATTTGATAGAAAAACAAAGCATGTAAATCAACAATAAACATACACATTTCACAATAAAAATTAAATTGTTAAAAATAAAACAAACAAAGAACACAATAGTGCTGTGTACTTTAACCATTAATGACCCGTAACGCTCGCTGCCACCAGCAACCCATGATGGACCGTATCTCCCGCTTACAAAACACATAGAAAAATTAACTTTGTTTCATAAACATTTGGCCTACAAGTCCCAATTTTTAACTAAACAGGAAGTTGGATAATAATTTCAAAGGTGATTTTGAAATATACATAATATTAGTCTGTTTCGATCCCGAAATTTTAAACTTAGCCGTCTTATTTTTAGTTGATTTAAAATAAAAACATGCCTAAAAACATATCTATGCATGTATTTTACAAATTGTAAATCTTAAACATAACTACATTGTTATTCAACTATTAAATTTGACGCTTAGTTGTTCAGACAAAAAATAAATTAAGTTGACTAACCAAAATGACCTATTTAGGATATTTTCTGACATTTTTCATTTTTATACTGTACTTCTACCGAATATTGTACTCCTACTGAATACATTATGTTCTATTTGACACTGTTGGGAAGCCATATGTAATTCCAACATTAAACAGTAGTTTTTAATCTTAATTAATAATTTCATTTAGACAAAAATGAATGTTTTGCGACTGGGTTCACTTGTTCATATCAAGTTATGCTCCTTACATTGGGACGTCAAGGTTGGTGTTTTGGTAGAATGAATGGGTCATTAGTGGTTCAAAAAGGTACTATTAATTAATTTAACATTTTGCTATGGTGAAAAATGTTTGCATTTATTTTATGAAGAGAGTAATTAATATATTAATGCTGAAAATGATTAATTTTGAAAAGTGGCAAATACAGTAAAATGTGCTTTCTTAAGTTTCACAACAGCAAAGACTCAAACTGAAGCTGTCCAAATATAAAAGTTAACTTGTATTACACATACAACATTTAACTAGTCTATAACAACACAGATCCACATGATGATTCTTTCTCCAACTGTATATCATTAAAAACTATTAAAATTTTGATAGTTCTATCTACAACTTAGTTTGAACAAAAATATTCAATTTATACAATATCTTAAATCTGGAGGTCACCGAAATACATATAATTGCTAATTAAAATAGGGTACTGGTCATTCAGCAATTATTTGTTATTGAATATGCATCCTAATTCTTTTGTACACTTAAGAGTTTGTTTCAGCTATTTTAAAATTCCCGAACAGTATTTAAATGAACCCAAAAAAAAAAAATTACTAACTTAAGGTAAGTTTAAAATTTTTCGAATTTGAAACTAGATTAATAAAAATATTATGTATAGGAAGATCATTTTTAAGTTAGCTTCTATTTTTCTTTTAATAAAATAAAAACGTAAATTTGTAGTATAAATAAACTTCTCAATAATAATACATCATCTCAATGTGAAACACCTAATATTCCTTATTCTAGTATACTTATAAATAAATATATTGTATCAGTTTAAAAGCTGAATTTTTGGTTAAGGGGAAATTATTTGAACAGAAAATGGAAATTTTTTTTTATGATATATAATAATAAATTGGAAACTATAATATAGTGATATAGATAATACAGTGCTTGTTTCTTCATAATTGATAAGCTGTTTTGACAAGTAAATGTTGCAGGTTGTAATTGGGTTTTGAGCAAATTTAACAGTAGTTATATCAGCTCTCAAATTTCTTTGTAGGAACAATGGAGGAGCCTTCCATTGTCATCATGTGGTATGGAAAGGTAGATGGGGATCCGCTTATGAACAAGTCAGTTTGAGGAGGATTATATAAGGTTAATTCCTAATAAATAGAACAAAAAGCTGAAATTTGAACATATGAAAAAATACAAATGAAGACACTGTGTGGTTATATAAATCGGAATGTTAAAATTGTTACTATGTCATATTGCTGTAATCTTGAAATGTCTAGTTCTTTAGAGTTGAGGAGAATGTCTGCAAAACTGGGGCACCACAATGACACAAAAATAGGGATAGACACTAGCAAAAAAGGACTTACAGAAGTGGACTGGCCACCAATCTGATTTAGAACAAGTGGACTGGGTAGAGATATGCCCGATGTTTGCCGTCGTCTCTGATTGGGGCTCTGTGGATTTTGATGGCTCATAGGCATGTGTCGGGGACTAGTAGGACTTAGACTTACTGGACTGTTGCCAGTTCCGCCTGTGTTATAAGGATCTTCCTGATCTAATGGGGTTGAGAGTGGTGATGGAAATTGTAGCACTGATAGGTCAGGTAAAGATCCTGTGTTGCTGGTTGTCATTGGTATAACAGATGAAGAATTCTGGCCATCATGCTCTTGGCTTGGGTAAATGCTAAAAATATATAGAATAACAAAGGTATTTTTGTAGTACATGATTCAAATGATTAGCTAAAATACAAAACAAAAATACTTTGAAGATAAAAATTTGTTTAAAAGCATGAAGTGTCACATTTTCTAAAACTAGATTTAACACTAAAATAAAATAAAACAAACTTGATATTTGGAACTTCACAAGATTTAGGACGAGAAGGGCCACCCATTTTTTTAGAATCCCAATAATTCATTTGCAAACCATCTCCAGCATTTTCTCCAACCATTTCAACAACTGCAAATAAATATTTATAAAAGTATTTTTTTAATCAGCATAACCTATTCAGATAAATAGGTAAAAATATGAGCTACTTACTACGACGATGAGATGGTGGAGTCACTGGAGGATGTGTATAGTTCTTGTTATTTGCATTTCCCATTGCATTCATATGCAAAGAAGGATCAGAATGAACTCTGTAAAAGCATCAAAAAGAAATATTCCTTTAAATAATTTAGATACAAATTTAGGACAATAAATCATAAGTAACAGATTTTTTAAAATCACCATGGTTGTCTAATAAACATATAGTACAAAAAGTTTAAACAACATAAATAAGAGCCATTATAAAACACATTTATCTAAAATTGGTTCAATTAAAAAAAATAATGGATTGGTATTTATCACTAGTGTTTTTTAATGCTTATTACCTCATCATGAATTTGCTCCACTCAGTATAAAATGGATATATTAATAGCATACATAGACACCAGGTAAATTATTTTACTTTAAAGCCTCTATATACAAATTAATAGGCAGTGAAAAACTTTGCTACAATCTAAAACATTTTAATGATTGCTTTAAATATTTTTTTAAATAGACTGCTAAAATGTTATCGCCTAGAGTAGACAGACTGACTAGGTAATAATACTAATAAAATAAATGTTAAATTCACAAAGGATCTGATAAATTAAATACTTATATATATGTATTAATGTGAAGTTGATATTTTCAGCATCACATAATTATCATAATTGAATGATTTCAAATGAGTTATCAAAAGCAGATAAATATTCTCAGAATGAACAGAAAGTTTTGAGTACAAAATGTGTGACAAATAATTTCCCCTAAAAATACAACTTGTATGTAATACAGAGACATTTTAATCTAATTTTTATTTAAATGATAATATAAAGTTACAAATAAATCAATTACCAAATGATATTAATGCTATATAAAGGGAATCTAACAATGTCCTCCCCAACTTGGAAACTAAGTACCAAAAAATTTAAGGGAAGTTTCAAATTTATTTTATGCATTTTGTTTCTTTTAGATGAAAATTACATGTCAATAAATGAGTTATTACTAAAATAAGATACGTTTTATTTTTAACTCTTGCTTAGATCATTTAAAAATTCCACTGGAAAAACTAATTGTATTGTTATAGTTTAATCAGCAGTTATTATTAGTGCTACAGGCAAAAATATTGTATATACATTTTTTTAATTAATATGTGCAGTTTGCTAAGGCAGAGATTAGCCTAATCATTCTTTGTAATATATATATATATACACAGATAGATAGACAGATATATATATATACATATATAAATAAGGTATAACAGTATTAGGAGTACAGATGTTAATTGTGAAATACAATATTGATAGCACTTTATAAAACAACATTTTTATCACAAGCAAATAAATAATAATAAAAAAACACCATCAAGTTCCAGTTTAAAATGAACCCTTTGGCTTCTTTTGTATTAAGCATTTAGATACAATTGCAAGATACATTTAAACAGCAGACACTTTGCATAAAAAAATGTAAAGATGAATGATTAACTAAAATATAAACAGGTCTCAAGTTTTTTATAAATACAGTTAACATCAAATATAGAAGCAAAACTATTGTCAAGCCTCAACTGCCAAAGAGTTATAAAAGTATAAAAGTCTTGATTCAAAGACAGGTTTACCAATCTGAAAAACCCAACACCTACAAAAATGCATGCACAAGATGCCAATCCAATGCAAGGGTCAGGAACTGGGGAGGTACTCAGTATACAAAGGCTAGGAGGATACACTCACCGAGACAATGAAAGGCCACTATACAGATAGCGGTGCGTCCTGGATAGCCCACAACTGGCAAAAGGAAAATCAATCAAAATAGAAACAAAAAACGGGTGGTAAACAAAAATATAGTAAAAGCAATGAATTAAAATTAAGCTTAAAGAAAGGGTTAAAAAGTTATATGCAAGGTTGCTTAAATAAATAACACATGCTTAGCAACTTAATAAAATATAGTGATCTTGAAAAAAAAAACTAAAACAGAAAAAGAGAAATAATTGTTGAATCTGATGAATGATGGCACTGTGGGTACAATACTATTATTTTAAATTATTTAAACTGTCATGGTCTAAGGTATTAGTCATCACCTATGCCAAATAGATCGCATGCACTATACAAAGAGGGTTAAAATGGGCTAGTGACAAAAATGTCAACTGAAAACGTTTTGTCAGGCTACTTTTTACCATTAAAAATTGGAATGGCATCTAAAATGTTAAGCAGTGTACCTAAGATAGCCTGCATGCTCGTAGCAAGAGAAGCAGCCAAATTAATAAAGATAAGGATCAATATGACGGATATGCATGCTGTTTAATATTTTATTAAATAAGCATCTATCGTAATCAGGTCTGAAACAATTATCACTAATGAACAAAACGACCCTTCATATTATGATTTTAAGCTTAATCAATGTAAATAGCTAAAACTGTATAACTTTCTAAACATAAAGCAACATAACTTTTTAAAAAAACGTAGAAGTTTTAAGAGGGGTAAATTTACCAAAAGTGATCAGTTGGTAACCTACTACAATTTATTAAATTTATCACGTTAAATATGAATTTTCCAGTGTCACATGAAGGGCAAATGTTTCTTTAAAAAATAAATTTATGTGATTGTAGTTCAAGTACTTAGTATAACAACATGGGACTTATCATTGTAATGTAACTAGCTGTCACAACGAAAATGAATCAATGATAATATATTTATGTGGTACAGAGCAAAACGGGAAGAAGTTAAAACTATATTGTTTTAATTAAAATGGACTAATAAATATAAAAAGTAATCAAATAATATATTAGACTACAATATTTTGTAATAAAATAAATACCGAAATGCGTTATTAGCATTTTTCACAGGTTTAATATGGTTCAAATAGGATTGTAATTCAGCGTCTTGACTAAGTTATGGTAGTATGAATTTTGTTTTTAATTAAATAGGATTTTATAATGCAAATTATTTGTATACTATTATATAAAAAGGCATGCAAACCACTACACAACCATTCTTTCTAGTTGTATTTGAAATATAGTGGACACATTTTTAGGATTTTTAGCTATGGAAAGCATTGAAAAAGTAATGGCCCCTTAATAGTATTACCAAATGTGTATAAAAGGATAAGCAGTTTAAATTTAACTGCAAAAGGACGAAACACAATGAAAGTGTATCTCCATCATAATTTTTAAAGTACATTTTACAGTATGGTGTTTTAAAACAAATGTACTTTAAGCCTGATTGACATTACAATGTAATTCAAATATATTATACAAGGCTCTGAATTATTTTAGACACTATGGCACAGTGCTTATTTCATACTTTAACAGTCAAGTTTTTTAACAATATCGTCATTATCAAAACAGGATTGCATCTCGACCTGTAAAAAGTGAAACTATTTACTAAGAGGCGTTAAAGTAAGATACAAGTTGTTAAAAAGCATGTATAGATCATTTTAAACATATTGATTGATTATGATTAATTTAGAAACTCCAGTAATCATCAACATAATCCTTTACCTTTTATTAGTGTACAAAAACTATAAATGTAACAGAACAATTAGATAAAGGAAATAATTCTCTCATATTGCAATCATTGTAAGCAATTTCTAAAATAAAATTTTAGAAGATAATGAATTTTGGGGTTGTGTAAGATAAATCAAGCAGAATGAGGTTCAGTTTTCTAAGCCCTCAGTTAATTTTGAAAATAACTTATTGATAAGAAATAAAATTTATTTTATCAAAGGCAAAATTATTAATGAGTCATTTATATTTAAAATGTATTGCTGAGGAAGGTTTGAAATATGTAATTACATTTTAAAATTTTAATTTAAAAAAAACCTGTAATGCTTGATCATAAGTATAAAACTGAAGCAGTGAAAACAACATTATGCTACAATATAAAGAATACACCCATGAACATAGTACATTTGAACTAAGCAGTAAAAGACACTAAGCCAACACCAGAATTAATGTTATTCCTTCTATAAATATGACCTAAATTAATTTAGCAGCTATCCAATGAAATACAGACAACAACCCTTGTTTGTGTTGTAAAGATAGAGATTTAGACAACCATGGATTAATTGACATTCATAAACCTAAACCTGAATCCCATGATAAGGGTTAAAAACTCACCTACGCCAGCTTGTATCTGGTGGTGGAGACAGGTGATATGCTGATCCATAAGGCGAAGAGTCAATCTGAAAATAAATATTTTAGATTTTATAGTAAAGCGTTTTAAATTTTTTTTTTAAATAGCTAGAATTGGGTTTGCGAGAAAGGTTACCCTTTTATCTGTGGGAAAATTTCTTCTGTGTGGTCCTATTTGCTGCCTTTGTCGTTCTTGTCTACCATGGACCAATGTTGACCGACCTTGCTTCATATCATCTAAATGCTGAAGTGTGGCCTGATAAAAATCAAACTTAACATATTAAACTGGATTTCGAATTATAATAATAGTTGCTTAATAAAATAAAAGAACACAGAAGTAAAAAATAATGTAATTTTTTTCTTTGTTATACAAATTTTTGTATAGATGACAATAAAATTAATGAAATTCAAACTGGTTAGATTACATCTGTTGATGAAGCAAGCTTTGATTACAATGTAAATAATACTGTGACATAGAAGAAAAAAAAACACCAGTATTTAAAATTAAAAATGCTAAAAACAAATTCTAAGCATTCTTTTTTTTATATTAAAATTAACATGATAGTAAAAGCACATTTAAAAAAAAACTGTTTTCTAGGTTTCATATTATTTTAAAATATGTATAAATTATTATATTTAAACCTAAAAATTATAAAACTAAGTATTGTCAAGTATAATGCTTTTTGTTTTAATTTTTTTTATAAATGTTATTTTTAAATTGTTTTTTTAAAGACGCATATATATTAGAAACATATTTTGCTTGCCTGTATGGGAAGCTTAAATGTTTTTATAACACAAAGACAGTTGACGGTTAAAGATGTGTGCACTAATTTTAGGAAAAAATATAGGTGCAACTTTTAATTACCTGTAAATCAATTCCTTGATTAGCACTAATTTGGTTAACATTGGGTAAAGATCCACCCCTGTAAGTTCCAAGATTTGGTGCAATGTGCTGTTGCTTCTGATATCTTGGTGGATCCTGAAACAAAATAATTTAGTTAAAGCATAATATTCAGAAGGCTCTTAAGAATACTTAGAGGTTCTTGCATTAGCAATAATAATATTTCAATTATTATAAGGCACTATAATGTTTTCTATAACGTTGAAGCTCTTAAAATATTTCTTCTTCCTAATAACTAATAGATATTTGTAAAAAAACGATGATGTGGGTATCCTTGGAATATGGCTAGTAGTCAAAAAGAATTTTTTGATTATAAGGAGTAAACTTGCTACTGACTAAGTGAGTTGATAACGTGAGTCAGAACAGCTGATGCTTCTTTTAGTGAATGCTTATTGATAAGTAGCTATGGCTGATTCTAAATATTAGGCCTAAATTATCTAAATTTAACTACTCCTTTTCCTGTAGTTAGTTCATAGTGTAAAGTTCAGTTAAAAATTGAAACTAATGAAGGATTGAAAGCAGAGAAGGTTGGTTGGAGTCTCTAAGGTAGTTTGAATATTTTAATACTTTAAAAAACTGCTATAGGCCTACAAATTTCATAAAGAATATTATTAAATTTAATGTATTAGGTAACTAAATAGAGCTTGAAAAATTTGCCAAAACAATCTGTGGATTGTGTCTAGGCAACAAATCTACAAAACAAAAAGAAGTTTGTAGGAATTGAGCCTACCTAACACCATTTTTTACAGTCTATGTACAGGAAGAGTAGCTGATCATTTAGGCCATAAAGTAGTAGAATAATTGTGTTCTTAAATATTCAATGGAAGTTTGTATTTCATTTTCAAAGGTAATATTTCCATAATATTTCGAGGAAACATGCTGAATAATCATTATCATAAATGACTTCATGGTTTTTTGATGACTTTTACCACTTTCTCCTCATCATCACAACACCCAGACTGCCCCCCCCCCCCCAACAATTATACCTCAGCCTACACCCCCCCCCCCCCTTCAAAGATGCAGTTTTACTTTATAAAACTATTTCTTTCACAAATATTTAATGAACTCTGTCATCACTGAGAGAGATCATTTCTTTAAGGGCCTACAAAAACAAATGGTGTTTTAAAACAAAAAATATTAAAATTCTGTTTCTAATATTAGGCCTAACTTTCAAAAACACAAAAGCATGTCATCTTTTATTAACCCTCAATCCCCTTTGTCATAAAAATTCCCACCTCCCCTCGGCCCCGGAGTATGATGACATTTTTAAACAATAACTAAGTAAAAATAAATGAAGCTTCAAAGTAAAAACATTAGGGTAGACTGGATCTAAGCTGTATTTGCAAGTTCTCTGTAGTTTCCTTTATAAGGGCCTACATAATTTCTTCAAATAAATTTCTAATTAATTGAGCAACAGGCTTAAATTTTACCTAACTCTGATAGCTTTACATAACTAGGAGTAGAGCTCTAGATCTAGGCCCTATAACTTGAAAATCTCATTTGGGACCATCCATAAATGACGTCATGCTTTTTATCTCCCCCACTCCCCTCCATCACACATCGTCACAAAAAGCCAGGCCCCCCCTCCCCTAAAATGATGTCACATCAGCCTACAACCCCCTTAAAAATTGCAGTTGAATTTTTCTTAAAACAGATATTTTTTCCGAAATCTTGTCTGACCTCAGTCAACATAGAGTATTTTAATCAATTCCTATTAAAATTTATTAAAATAGTTTTCTAAAACACGAAATAACGGCTAAAATCCGTTTTTCAGGAGAATGTTTACACCGGTTCTGGTAATGGAATCTTCTTTAAAATAGGGGTGTTAGGTTACTGGTAGTTAACTAAATGCTCCCATGGCTGGCTAATGTCACTGCTAACCCTGTCCCTAACCCTAACCCTGGTCCTACCATAAGCCTAACGTTAATTTCTAACCATAAAGTTAGTCGAGATTACAATACTACTAACAACCCAACACCCCTTTTTTAAAGAAGATTCCATTATCGGACACCGGTATCTCTAATCATCCCCGTTTTCTAACATTGCTTTTTTACAATGCAAAGTGTGACGTCACAACATCTAAACCCCCCTCCCCCTCATCACAAAATTATGGACTCCACCCCCTCGCCCTACGAGTGTTATGTCATTTATGGACGACACCTTTAATCTTTAATAACCAACCTAGCTCAACTTTTGACCACCACTAAAATGAAAATCTATAGGCCCTAGGCCTAGATTCTATTTACTTATCTCTAAACTTAACTTTATCTTACAAGAAGGACCATTAGTTCTGTTTCAGACTAGATCTAGATCTAGGCCTACTGTTTTATATTATTTTGTAGGCCGGATTGTTGCTTATATGGCTGGATTGACCTCTGACCCTGAAACGTCACGCGTCGTTTTTTGACGGTTTTTACGTTTATTTTAGGGGTCCTATCCACGACAAATGAAAAAACTGCTAATATCGCAAATTCTCATCATTATTTTAATGCGATATGCTAAATAAATGGACGCCATGCCTGAAAATAACCGAAAAAATCGCCAGATATGTGGTTTTAATTAATACACGCTATTCTTGTCAAGTACTCTTGGGAAAAACTGAACTGCCGCCTTAAACGGCCCAGTACATGGTCGAAACCCCCTGGTACAAATGCAGAAATATATAATTGAGATATTTATAATGAGTAATTACAGTTATGTTGATTCGCCTTTTTTATATCGAATTTCCATATGAGGTACCCATGCAAACATTTCTGTCCGCTTTGTTTACTATCGTGACGTCATTGTTACGCTAGTTACCTCACAGAAACAACTCGTTTTTGTTTTTTGCGGAATGAACTGTTAAGTCTAGTATTTTAATTATAATTCAATTGTAGCGTGTGCAGAAAAAGTAAAATTATGGAAATTATTTTTGTATTAGTAATTTTATTAGTATATTGATTTTTTCTTCACTGTGGGCCGACAGTGGCTGCATTGAATTTAATTCGTGACCGGTGGTTAACCTCGTCAACGCTGCGTGGTCTATTCGTTTATATAATTAGTGATGCTCGTTCAGTGGCCTTTTTCAGAGCTAGGCCTAATTACGGGCGTTTTTTTAGACTTAATTGATCGGCCGTTAGCCCTTTTCATTGCTGCGTATTTTAAAAAATGCTCGTTCAGCGGCCTTTTTTTTTTTTTTTTTTTGGTGCTAAATAATCTGTTTACGGGCATTTTAAGCGTTTATTTATTTTTTTAAGCTAGACGTAGATCTAGTTTAAAAAATATTTTTTAATACAGCTGGCTGCAGGGGGGGGGGGGTGCAAATCGAAAGTTTGAGGGGGTGGGTGCAAATCGAAAGTTTGAGGGGGGGGGTGCAAATCGAAAGTTTGAGGGGGGGGGTGCAAATCGAAAACTTGGGGGGGGGGGTGCAAATCGAAAATTTGAAAGAAAGTTTGTCCCCGGGAAGAGTCGCTACGCCTTTGGGGGGGGGGGGGGCTGACACCATTAAGTGCCGCACCGGGTAACACCCGACCTCGCTACGCCACTGGCTGGCTGTCTTGCATGCCTGATATGTGAACTTAAAAAAAAAATGACCGAACTTTTAAAAAAAATGACCAGAAGTAGGGAAGTAGGTCTGTTTTTCAATTGGCTAGAGGGAGGGGGGGGGGGGGAAAGAGAGAGAGAAGTGAAGACACCGACCATCTCGTGTACGCGTGTTCATGCTATGACGTGTACTATAGGCCTGCTGAACTCACGGTGACCCGCGACCGTGGTGGGATTTTTCATCCACAGGATAGTAAACGTAAGCAAGCAATCAGGCTAGCGACGATGTTTGGAGATTTAAAAAAAAAAAATCACATACGTCATGTTTTCAAGATGAAAAAAAATGTAATGTAAAAAAAAAAAATACCATGCATGAACCTCAGCTGCCACACTGTTGACTCAATATAATGTGAATTGAGTGTAAAATGTATTTGTATTTATAAACGATCATAACTGTTACTATCATATTATTTTAAGCATATTTATTATTTATTATTTAAAATTAGAATTTGAAATAAAAATATTTATTATGGTCATTTGATTTATGCAGGTGTTCATTACTTCATAAAATGGTATGAATAACATGTAGAGTAGAATTTAATAAATAATAAAATAACTAGATCTAGTTTTATTATCAACCAGTTGCTTTTTGTTATTTTCCGGTGAGTAAATTACCTAAGCTGACGCAATTACCATGGCGGGAATTAAAAGCTCGTGTACACAAGTCGACGACGTCATGTTATGCCGAGAACGCTGTTTTGTCATTCATTTTCAATTTTGATTAATTTTCAAATTCTCTCTTTTCTCGTCAACCGAGTGAGCTAGATATTTAAATGTGGTGTCAAATGTTCTCTTAAGGGGTAAGGAACTTAATGGTGTATTTGAAATAACAGAATATTTTATTTTAAAAAATCCATAATTTAACCTATTATTTTGCCACAATTGTTTTGTACATTTTCCCAACAATGTTTATTTTAATTTTTTGTGGCCATAGAAGTCAAATGCACCTCTCTGACTGTACTGTAATACAGATGAGTGATGTTATCAATGTGTTATGTAGATCTATAAAGTGAGGAGTTTATGGTTATGTTACAGGTAGACTCGTAATTTTAGATTGTTCGGATAGAAGGTGATCTGCAGTTGGTAGAGAAGTGCTTTCGTTTATTTTTCTTGACTTCGCTATTTTCATATTGAGACCCTTTTTTTGAGCAACCACAGAAGTGAGAATATTAATAAGTTTCTGATTTTAACCATTTACCCGAGTTGCAGAATTAACCTCTTGTAAAATTGCCTCAAAAGCTGCCGTTTCTTCGGCTTGCTTTTGAGTGTGTAAGGCTATTTTCTCACTAAACTTCCGAGGGTTCGCCATGATGGCTGAAAACGACAAGCTTGTTATGATTCCGACATACAAAAGGTAAAGCCACCAATCAAATTATAGACATCCTGTCATGTGACAACCATAGATGGCGCTTGCTTTATAATGCACCATTTTGCAAAACTCCGTCAAATTAAATTTTGATCGGAGAAGGCTAAAACTTTTTATTATAATGCTATCCTAGTTTAATGAGTTTATGGTCATATTTGAAAATAAAATGTAAACTGATATGCAAACTATTGGTATTAACTGAACAATTTTTCACTACTAGATCTAGATATAGATCTAGATATATCTCTAAATACGTAATCATCTTGTAATAGACTTGATTTTTCTAAAAAAAATTAGTGCATGATTTTAAAGTTTTGCATCTGATTTATGATTTTTATTCAATAACTTAAAAAAACATTGTATCGGCAACTGAAATCTATATAGAACATTTATTGAGCAAGTAGTTAGACCTAATGATAATACAAATTATTTTATTGCATTAATTTACGTAGGCTTATATTAAAGACAAAAATGAAAAGTCTCTAAAACCACACTTTTGTATTATTGGCCTAGGGCAGGCGGGCAGGGGTCGGCAACCTGATGTCAAGATGCGGCTCTTCAGCTCCAGGCACACATTAATCACACATATCAATAATTATTTTATTTTATTTTTAAAAGTCATAAAGATATTAGTCTGCAACCAGTGTTTCTTCCAGGCTTTTTCTCCGGGAGGGGGGGGGGGGCACTTAAAATTTTCGGGGGGGGGGGCGGTAGACTTTCTTCGGGGGGGGGGGGCGGACACTGTTAAAAGTATATATTTTCTATATAAATTATATCAATTTCATTTCGTTCGGGGGTGGGGGAGGGGGCGGTAGAATTTTTTTTTTTAGAATTTTTGCTGGTTCGCTTCAAATGAAATTGCTGCATTTGAAAATCAAACATTTGTAGAGTGATTAGTTCACAGAAATTAAGGGCAAGTTAAAATAGTCGGAGGGCCAGTAAAACAAGCACGTTTCGCTGCTCTAAAGGAAATCCCGCGAGTTGAGGCAGTATTATGTAACGCATGGAATACTCTTCCAGAATGCTACAATGAGGTGAAGAAGTTGTTATTTGGAGTGCTGACGATCTTCTGGTCAACATATTCATGCGAGCCAGCGTTTTCTAGCATGAATATGTAATGTTTTTACTGCTCTCAAAATGTACTGTTATATTGTGATATTCTTGCTTCTATTTCTCACTCTCAGTCACAGTCACAGACGATCAAGAACGAAGAATAAGCAGTCTTCTGCAAATCTTTATTTGACTATCTTTCTTGAGCGGGAATTGTCTGTGTAGCGCGCATCTAACAAGACTATAGCGCCAATACGTGTGCTGCATAAATTACTGACTAGGGCCGTCGTTTCTCCATCCCCTCTAAGGCTAACGCACCGGCTTATATACCCCACCCGCGAGCGTCTCGGATGACACCTTGCTCTTGGCACGAATTCTAACGCTTACCTGTGAAAATTTCCCTCGCTTTTGTGCTAACCGACCCCAATTAACCCTATATAAAAACTTAACGCGATCTCCTAAAATTCTAATACGCTTATCCTCTGAAACCACAGACAATTCCCTTTACAATGATACGAATTACAATAAACATCAATTAGTTGTTCTTCAACAATAATACTTCAAACATGCAAATATTATAAAATTATAATCAAATACACCTAATTAAAGTAGATTTCAATAATATCGGCTTGCTCCTAACTAACACTAAGATATTCTAATTAAAGATCAAGCTTGGCCTAATAGTTCTTCCAATTTTCATGCTATAATAACAACTATTTATTAAGATATGAATTTTTCTTCTTGCCCTACTAAGCACAATTGACTGATTTCTAACAAATTCACTACATTTGACCCTACCTTTAAAGTAAGAATTTTGTCCTCAAAATTGATTTAATTTATTAAAGGTTTTGTATATTCAACATCTTAAATCACATCTTCATAAATGTGATACATCATAAACATCCATTATAATTATCAAAATGCAACATAATGTTCAAATTAAACAAAAAAACAATCAGAAACTGGCTCCATTGTAATATCGATTAACATGAAGTTATTATACAGTCTTGTTTTGCATTTGTAATGTCTACGTTCCTTCTGGTTAGATCTGTACATCTTATAATTTCAATGTTCCTGTGGTATGTTCACAGACCGAACCATGAGCATAATTGTGATGGTTCTAAAGCTTCTATAGTGGTCCTAGCACAAAGCTAAACTGTATCTACTTACATTTCGTTGGAATACATTCACATCCAGGAATGTAAATGAAAAACACCCGATTTCAAAAATTCACAAGGTATCTTAATAATCCAGATCATTATTTAAGAATTCACACGATATTTAAGTAATTTAGAACACTATTTTAAGAATTCACGTGGTATCCTAATAATCCAGAACACTATTTTAAGAATTCACACGGTATCTAAATAATCCAGAACACAGTCTATACTTATCAATTTAACAGGCTCTATTTTTGTTAATCCAACAGTCGACGAGTTCGTTTGATTTCTCGTCGGGGTCTTGTATTTCCCCTTGCGTCGTTGTGTGTAGTAACAGTTAGTTTTGGGCTTGTTTCATCAGCCCCGTGATCATTTCCTCTCTCCGACAGCTGACTCTCTGTGTCTTGACCTTCGTCGCCTGTCTCATCGTCCGTTGAGTAATCCGACAGTGGAGGTGAACCACCATCGTGATGAAGTTTGAGTTGTAAGTCAATGATCCATTTCGTTGGTTCCCGTTGGTGAAATGGTTTTAATTTGTCGTGGTGCACGACTTTTGTCTTTTTGTCCTTGTTCTCTATCTCAAAGAGAAGGTCACTTAGTTTTCTTCTTATGACGTATGGACCTTTCCAGTGTCTGGGAGCAAGCTTCCTACTCACGCCTACTTTACTCGCCTCCTCCAGACACAACACTACATCTCCAACATTGTAGTCATTGGAGACAATGTTGAGGTCGTAGTCTCTTTTGTTCCTCTCGTGTAGGCCTCCTGTCTTCTCGCCAGGTTGTTGCCTAACTTGACATCTCTCGCAACAGTTCACCCAGTTGGTGACCTCATGTTTCATTCTAAACCAAAAATAATATTCTTGTACCTTGGCTAATGTGTTTTGAATGTCAACATGTCTGGCGCCCTTGTTATTGTGACACTTGTCTAGAACCTTAGACATTAGGAGATGTGGCACTATCACCTTTAGTTCTGTCTTCCGTTCTTTTGTCACCCACTTCCAGCATAATATGCCATCTGCAAGTGTCAGTCTGTTAAAATTCAGCCAGTAATAGCGGAGTTCCCGGCCTTCTGCGGTTAACTCCCTCTGTTCAGGTCTCTGTTCGTTCTGCACCCAGGTAATACACTTCTTCAAAACATTATCATCCTTTTGAGCCTTCTGAATTTCCTGCTGGGAGAACTGTAGACCCTTCCGCAGATAGAATCGATCATGTTTCTGGTCTGTAATAGAAGCTTTCAATATTGCGGCAACTGGTGCCACTCTATGTGTATTTTGTGTGCTTCTTGGAACTGCGTCGTTAAAGTTGTAGAAGTTGGACCGCCATCGATGTTCTTCTACTTTGAACATCTTTTCTCTGGTCTGTGTCGGGACCCATCTACCATTAAGGTATAAGCCATTTTTAGCCGAAAATTGAAACTCATGTTTCATTAGGAAGTCCATCCCTAAGAAACCATCTTCCTCAATGTCAGCTATGACGGCTGTCCACTTTGTGACAACATTGCCAGCTCTCATATCTACTGTACATGTGCCTAGACAGTTTATTTTGTCACCCCCTGCAGATTGCATTGTGACCTTCCTGTCCATGGGTTGAAGTTTGTTTCTAACCAAATGTGGTAACTTGTTGAAGGCTCTTGTAGACATGACAGTGACAGCAGCGCCCGTGTCTACCAGAAACATCATATTGTGTCTTGCTACCGTTACAGTCACCACTACTGAACACCCAGGGGCAACACTACGGATTGAAATCTCTGTTGGCACGTCCACTTGCTTGTTGCTTGCCGCGGCTTTTACTTTCAGAAAGTTAAGGCCTAAAAGATTTTCATCATTGTTATCTGTATCATTCTGTCGGATTTCATTTATTCTGGCTGTAGCTTGGGTCGGCCGGGCTTGATAATTGTTTCTATTAGTTGACCGACGTTGGTTCATTTCTTGAAATCTACTATTTCTTGGGCAATTCCTAGCCAAATGTCTGCCCCCACAAGTGTAGCATCCCGAGTCGCTGGGCCTACGTTGATTACTGACCATCTCTTGTAGTCTTTTCACCTCCTGTTGTAGGCTATCTATCTGGCTCTGCTCCTGCACCGAACACATTTTTGTTTTTGTTGTGCTGTCTCTAGCACTGAGGTATTCGTCCAGAATGTTTCTGGCCTCATCTGTGCTAACTGGGCGCTGGGCGGCAATGATACCCGCGAGGTGAGGATCTTGTAGCCCCTTGAGAAAATAGCGCAGTGCAACTGTTGCTTTAGTTGCTTGGTCAGCTGACGGGAAAGCCATGGCCGTCAGTCGTTTCACATCGGACGTATATTCAGCGGTTGTCTCCCTTGCTGACATCTTTCTATTTTCTAACTGGGTCAGATGTGTAGCGGTGCCCACCCTGGTGTCAAATCTAGCGCTCAGTGCTGCGACAAACGTTTCAAGCGTTGCTCGGTCAACTTGAGTGAGTTCAAGAAATGCAAAGTTGGCCGCACTCCCCTCCAAACAAGCTGGTAGATGCAGTAGCTGTCTATCTTCATTCCAGCTGTTAATGCGAGATATTGCTTGAAATTTGTTCCAAAACACTTGGAATGGCGCTGACCCGTCGTATTGTGGTAACGCCTGGTTCATACTTAATGGTCGCTCATCTTGTCTAGCGATTCTGAGTTCTTTAATCGTTTCTTGCAGGTTTCTTATTTGAGCCTGTAGTTCAATATCTGCCATTTTTCTCCTCTGTACTAACTGGCCTGCTTTCAGTCTCTCTGGTTGCGTGTTAAAGATCGTTTCTTTCGCTG